CCACATTGGTGCAGGGTCCCAAGGCTTTAGGCTGTCCTCCACTGCTTTCCCAGGATACAAGCAGGGAGCCGGATAGGAAGCAGGACTGCCGGGATTAGAACTGGTTCCATATCGGATCCTGGTGTGGTCAGTGCAAGGACTTTAGCAGCCAGGCCACTGCACCTGTCCCGCTATTTATCATTTTATATGAATGATGAGTTCTGGTTATCTTTTGTTTTAGGAAATTCTCCTTTATTCAACTTTCGGTAGAAAAGTGACTTTTTCCTCTATAAATTTTTACTTAACATTGTTTGAATTTTTTAAAGCTGAGTTTTGCTATTTTAGACAGTTGCCTTTATTTTATCCACAAGTGGCAGATCCACGTCTGTATATAATTTTTTGTTTTATAATCAGCACAGGAATCTTCCTGTCATTGCTTATGTCCAGTGAAAATAGTATGGTAAATGCTTAAAGTCAGGGGTGAGAACATTTTCATTGTTAAATTGAAGTGTACTTGTTGCTAATGTCACTGTCTGGATTTCTAAGGCAAGTTACCTGTGTCACTCTCATATTCCTGCTTCACTGAGTTGATCTGTATGATTTGCTGAAAACTATACTTCTGTTATTGTGTAGTTTTTACTCTTGAACATGTATGTTGCTGAGTTCATTTGTATCATATGATAGTATTCCTTTCCTTTTGGTGTGCTTTGTTAAATTATTACCAGTTGAGGTATTTAAATCAAATGCTAGAAAGCATGTCATTTCAATGCTTATACCTCTCTAAAGAATTTTAAGAAATGGATGTTTTCCAAAAATTATAAATGTAATAATTTTAAAAATAGATATTATTTTATTTAAAAGGTAGATTTGTAAAGAGAGACAAAGATCTTCTGTCTGTTGGTATACTCCCTCTAGTGGCGGCAATGGCCAGAGCTGAGCCTATCCAAAGCCATGAGCCAGGAGCTTGTTCCAGGCCTCCTACACAGTGCAGACTTTTGGCTATCCTCTATTGCTTTCCCAGGCCACAAGGTGGGAGCTGGATTGGACGTAAGGCAGCCAGGATTAGAACTGGTGCCCATATTGGATTACAGCACATGCTAGGCTATGGCGCTATGCCCAGAACCTTTTTTAAAAAAGGTGTATTTACTTATTTTTATATTGGAAAGTCAGATTTTACAGAATGATAGACTGAAATAAGGATCATCCATGTGCTGATTCACTCCTCAAGTAGCTACGACTACCAGAGCCGAGGTGATCCGAAACTAGGAGCCAGGAACCAGGCGCTTTTTCCAGGTCTCTTTTGTGGGCATCAGATCCCAAGCATTTGGGCCATGCTTGGCTGCTTTCCCAAGCCACCAGCAAGGAGCTGGATGGGTAGTGAGCAGCCAGGACATGAACTGGCACCTGTATGAGATCCCGGCGTATAGGAGGCGAGGAGTTTAGGCCCCTGTCATCATCTTAATGAAATGAACATCACATCAGTTCTTTTTTTTAAATTATGTAATACTCAGTTCATATTCAAGTTTCCTCACTTAATTTTTCCTGAAAATCAATTTTTTGGTTTGAAATAATTTCAAATAAGGCACCCACATTTGGTTTTATATCTCCTGAGTCAGTATAGAGCAGATGTTCACGTGCTGTTGTAATAGTGAAAAATCGTAGGCTGTTTTCCTGTGCAAAGGCTGGCTTTCCAGATTGGTCTACTACCTTCCTTGTAGTGTTGTTTAATTTGTTCTACAGGCCTGGTTAGCTTCAGCTTCAACTCTTTGGAGTGAGAATATGTCATTAACCATGTGCTATGCTTTTTCTACGTGCCATGATGTCTGACTGCCTTGCCTGCAGACATGCAAAGGTTGGCAGTGCGATTCGGGCAGCAATAATGCAAGGCTGTCTCACTTCCATTAGTACTCCTTTGAGAGTCACTCATCTATTTGGAGGTTGCAGTGCAGAAGTTGTCTTTTTTTCCCTGTATTTTCTGAATGAGAATCCTTTTCTGTTTTTAAGTTTTATTGTTTTGGAAAGGCAGGTACACAGAGAGAGAAGAAGATACAGAGAGAAAAGTTCATTCCTCAAGTCCCAGCATTGGCCAGATCTGAGCTGATCCAAAGCCGGGAGCTTCCTCTGGGTTTCCCACGTGCGTGTATCCTCTACTGCTTTCCTAGGCTCTAAGTAGGGAGCTGGAAGGGAAGCGGAGCAGCTGGGACACGAAAGAAAATTCATCTGTTGATATCACATTCCTTCCCACCCCCAGTATTGCTATGTACCTACTTAGTGTATAAGCATGGTGACAGTCTGCATTAACGCTTTGCTTTACATTTCATTGCATGCACTGCCTTCTGCTCAACCTGTGCCCTGTTGATGGGTGTTTACTTCTGGGCTTTCATTATTATTATTATTATTATTATAACCGATTCTTTGAGTAGTTCTGTATTTAAGTGTTTCAGCTAGAAATTTAAGCATGGAATTGTTAAATTTAGGCCTAAATGTATATGGGAGTTCTTTTGATGCATCAGTTCCCTTTTATCAACATGGTACCACTATGTACCATCTTCTGCAGGATTGTGTGGAAATGTTTATTTATAACCCCCTGCTTTTCCACCTGAGTAATTGTGAGACTTAGGGCTTTTGCCAGAATAAGCTTAAAAAGTAGTTTCTCCATACAGTTTTAATTTGTGTATCTCTTACTTAGAAACAGGTAAACATATTTCCATATGAGAAGAAGCCATTGTTAATTTCTTTTTAAGATTTATTTATTTTCATTGGAATGACTGATTTATTGAGAGAAGATAGAGATCTTCCAACTACTAGTTCACTCTCCAAGTGGCTGCAGTGGTCAGAGCTCAGTTGATCCAAAGCCAGGAGCCTGGAGCTTCTTTTGGATCTCCCATGGGTGCAGGGTTCTAAGGCTTTGTGCCATCCTCAGCTGCTTTCCCACACCATACACAAGGAACTCGAGGAAAGTGGAGCACACGGGATACGAACCGGCACCCATGTGGAATCCCAGTACTTTGCAAGGGGACAGTTAACCAGTTGAGCCATTGCTCTGGGCCTAATGACAGACTGTTAAGCGCCTTTTACTTTAGGTGAACAAAGAATGTCTTTTTAGTGCCAAAAATGAAAGGCAGAATGAAACAGTTTAGGCCTTTATTTTTTTATGAGGTTAACTGATCTACCTTTAGAAACTGTGCTCTTAGTGATACCATTAAATTATCCTTATGGGGCTGGGGTTGTGTTTAAACCACCCTCTGTGATGCTGACCGTTCAAGTTCTAGCTTTCCTACTATAATGGCTTGGGAAAAGAGAAAAAGATGGCCACAGTGCTTGGTTCCCGTATCACCTGTGTGGCAGACCCAGATGAAGGTCTGGCCCTGTCCTTGCCATTGTTGCCATTTTAGGATTGAACCAGAATGGTCTCTCCTCTCTGTAACTCTGACTTTTAAATAAATAAGTCTTTTAAAAGAATTTGTTAGGACTGGCATTGTGGCATTGTATCTTAAGCCTCCTGCTGCACCACTGGCATCCCATTTGGGCACCAGCTTGAGTTCTAGCTGCTCACTTCTGATCAAGCTTCCTGCTAATGTGACTGGGAAAGCAGTAGAAGATGGCCCAAGTTCTTGGGGCCCTGCACCTATGTGGGAGACCCAGTGGAAGCTCCTAGCTCTCTGCTTCAGACTGGCCCAACTCAGGCCATTGCAGTCTGACTGGAGAGAACCAGTGAATGGAAGATCTCTTTGTCTCTCCTCTTCTGCAACTCTGCCTTAAAATCTAAATAGTTGGGCCTGGGGCCGTTAGGCTAGAGGCTAAAGTCCTTACCTTGCATGGACACTGGTTCATGTCCCCAAGGCCCCACTTCCCATCCAGCTTCCTGCTTCTGGCCTGAGAAAGCAGTATAGGGCAGCCCAGAGCCTTGGGACACTGCACCTGTGTGGGAGAGCTGTAAGAAACTCCTGTCTTCTGACTTCTGATTGGCCCTGTTCTGTCCATTGCAGCCACTTGAAGAGTGAATCAGTGCACAGAAGATCCTCCTGTTTGTCTCTCCTCTTCTCTATAGAACTGACTCTCCAATAAAAATCAATAAATCTTTTTTTTTTTTTTTAAATTTTAGATGATGTTTACATATTCAGGGTGGGAAGTATTTAGGATTAGGGAGAAGTGGGTGTGATCATTGTTTCCAAACTTTCAGTTTCTTCTTCCTATTTCTGGGAAAAGTGGGAAGAGAAGGAGTTAAGCCATACCTTAAAAAAAAATAAAATCAGAATGGTCAAATCTTTAAAAAAAAAAATCCACACACAAAACTCATCCTTAAAAATAATATTGGAGTTGGCATGATAGCATTTCTAGCAAATCCCCCGCCTGCAGTGCCAGCATCTCATATGGTTGCTGGTTTGTGTCCCAGCTGCTCCACTTGCCGTCCAGCTCCCTGCTTATCACCTGGGCAAGCAGTGGGAGGATGACCCAAGTCCTTGGGCCCTTGCACCCATGTGGGATATCCAGAAAGATGCTCCTGTTTCTTGGCTCTGGTTCAGCTATTCAGGGAGTGAGCCAATGATAGAACATTGATCTCTCCTTTATGTAATAAATAATAAATCTTTTTTTAAAAAGTCATATTTAGGCATTGCCTTTCCGTTGATTTAGAGAAATAATCCTTTTAAATTCTGCTTTGCATACTGTTTGTATTCTTTTGAAAAGGAGGAGTGTTGAATTTTGAGATAGCAAGACCACTTGCGAAACTTCCCGGAGATGGTTGTATGCCTTGGTTGTTCTTCACTTATGCTGTCTGGAAGATGTCTGTCTGGTACTGTAGGTTGAGGAGTTAATAGTCAGTGATCTTCTGGTAGACTGGGGAAATTTAAGAATGATTTATAGGGTTTAACAGTTTCCTTTCATACATTATTCATTCATGAAAGGCTTTCTTTAAAAATAAAACCCTTTGTGATGATCTCAGTCGAATGTATCCTCTGACAATTAGTTTTTTTTCAATGTGATTTCCAATTTAAAAATCAGGTATTCTATTTTTCTAGAAGAACCTAACAAGACCTGTGACAGCAGTAACCCTAGTCCTACCACTACCTCCATCCAGCCTAATCTGGAGAGCAGTCACAGCAGCACTGACGTCAGCTCCTCCCCGAGTGACTCTGCTCAGGCAGCTGCTGATCCTGACGGTGGAGAGCGAGCATCCCAAACACCTGTCTCTGTTCAGGAAGAGATAGGTAAGAGTGCGCTTCACCCGTTCAAGGGAGCTTGTTCTTATTTTTATTTTTATTTTTTTAAGTTTTAAAATTTTTTGGAAAAAAAAAGTTTGATGGGGTGGGGAGATTCAGATTTTCTTTTTCCTTTTTTCTTTTTCCTTTTTTCTTTTTCTTTTTTTTGAAACACAAAAGGCTCTTATAGTTCCTTTTATTTTTCTTTTTTAAGTATACAAAAGCCATCAGAGCAGGGGAAAAAAAGTAGAAGACCATTTTCAAACACCTTCCCCAAAGATAACTATTATCCAGTTTTCCCCGCAGTTACACTCCCTTTTGTGGCTTTACAAAATTGTTTTTCTTTTATTTTTTCTTTCTTTCTTTTCTTTTTTTTTTTTAACATAAATGGGATCATTCTGCATGCATGGTTTTTGCTTCTTGCTTTTTTGCATGTTACACATTGATTCATTGTTTTCAACTGCTGCATGCACTCCACACTATGAATGAGGCATAATTAATTTACTGTTTCTGCTAATGGACATTTAGGCTGTACTTTCTTCACTATAAACATGGGTACTTTTTACATCCTAAACAGATATCTTTGTATTTCTGGGAGTGTCAGTAGAATTGCTGGGGAAATGGCACGTCCATTGAAAAAATAGGGATGACTACTGCTTTATTGTACATCAAAAAGGACACATGCCAATAATTTATGTACAGTAGAAAATATTTCACATTCTCTCACTTTAATTCATTACTAATAATTTTATATTTTTGCCAGTGGTGAAAAGTATTTTTAAAAAAAAGTATTTCATTAAAAATGTGCATGTTCCTCTTTACTAATGAGGTTGAATTTCTTTGTTAAACAGTCTGAATTGACTTTTCATATTTTTTGCTCATTTTTTGCTGTTGGAGTTTGATGTTTACTTAAAGAGTTTGGGAATACTTTATGTATTATGGCTGTGAATCTTTGATATTCCATATATATTCATATTGTACTTGTTCTTAACTTATCAGACACAAATCTTTATGTAGTTAAATTTATTAGTTTTTTTTCTTTAGATTTTCTGAGTCTTCTGTTTTGTTAATGGATACCATACCTGTCTAAAAATGTACATATTTAATAGGAATGTGTCACAATTTCTGTAACTACGTTTTTGCTCTGGAGTCTAATCTTGTATGTGGAATAAAGTGGAAATCAACTTTAATTAGGATTTTTTTTTCAATTGTAAGTGCTTTCAATTGGAAATGACCAAAACAGCTTAAAGTAGTTTAAGAGACGGGGATCTTAATTAGGTCATATAAGCAGGATGTTCAGGCCATGAGCAGGTACAACAGATGCCTTCCTCTCTTGGTGTCTCCGTTTTTGGATCTGCGTGTTTGTGTGTTAACTTCGCTCTCCTGATAACAGGTGGCAAGGAAGATGCCACTGGGGATTCTATGTTTCCAAGGTCTGTGATCCAAAGACAAGGCCCTCTGCTCCAGCTCAGAAGTCCTTGAGGAAGCAATTTGAGTGGCCCATCTTGGATCATAATGTTCCCACTGCTGTGGCCAGGGCAGGCAAGGTATTTTTCATTGATGACCCCAGCAGAAGTATGTGATTGAAGTTGAATAGGAAAGGTTTTCAGACGAAAAAGAGACACTACGAAGATAGAATACAGTAAGTATCCACAACTCCACCGCTAAGGAGCTTAGTACTTTGGTGTTTATCCATTTCTTCTGTAGGTTAACAATTCGGAAATGCCTTTTCCTGGCACAACACAAAAATCTTACCCATGAATAAAAACTTAGAAAAATTTGTTTCCTGTAATTATCTTTAGGCGTTGCATCTTGAGTCTGATTTAGGATTTGTATATGTTGTGCATCGATTTGGGCAGGTCTAGAAAGGGTTTGTCCTGATCTCATAATCTGTGAGCTCACTTTTTAGTTTGGCTGTCTGAAATACTCCGTTGTCTGAGAATGGAAGGTGTGCCTTGATAAATCTGGGAGGTAGAGTGCAGAGGAGAGAGGAGTTCTGTTCCAGCAGCTCTTGGCTGTTTATTGGGGATTCCTGTGGGATTCAGCAGTCACACTGCACAGTTTAGTATGTTTGGAGTTTTTTCTGGCAGTAGCAATCTCTTTACACATTTGTAGGCACTGCTTAGTTGTATGAGGCAGTTCCTGAAGGATCCTGGTCCCTCAGTTGCTGAGTGGACCAGTAGCCCTGGAGCATGCCTGAATATTCTGTCCATGCTTCTATGTCTTGCTTGGTGTTACTAAGTCAGCTGCTGAGGCTCAGGGAGAGCAGTCCTGCATGGTGCCACCTGGCTGCTCACAGGGGAAGTATGGCCTTGGGACAGGGAGTCAGTGAGATCTACCTTATTCCCTTGCTCCTCTCCCTTGGAGAGGAATTCTCTCCTCCCTTTCCTCATTTGCACCAAGTGACAAAGGGTTGAATCTAAGAAATTCTGTATAAAGTTGTAAACTAAGGTGCTACTTAAAAAATGTTTTTGAAAGATTGATACACTTTCTTTGAAAGAGTAACAGAGAGAGAGAGAGCTTTGTCTGCTGTTTCACTCCCTAGATGGTCCAGATGGCTAGGGCTGGGCCAGCTTGAGCACGGGAGCCTAGAACTCCCTCAGGTTCTTCCATGTGTGTGCAGGGACCCATGCACATGTGCCATTCTCTGTTGCTTTTCCAGGTCATTAGCAGAGAGCTGAATGGGAAGTGGAACAACCAGGACTCAGACTGGTACATGTGTGGGAAACAAGCACTGCATGGGGCAGCTTAACTCATTTTTTTCTTCTCTGTGATAGTTTTATTATCCCCTATTATTGATGATTTTCTCCCCATTGTGAGGGTAAAAGTAGCCTTTCCTGCTTGTTTATACAACAAAACAAGAACCTGGTCTCCAGATTTTAAGATTGAAGTGGGATGCCTGACTGGCTTGGGCCACATGGCTTGTCCTGGCATAGTAACTGGCCAGGTGGAGCCATGGTCTGTCTGGCTGAGCTCTGGGTCCTGGTCCTCACCCTAGAAAAGGAAGGAACTTGATTTGTAGCTCTGATGGCCTCCTAGGATTACGGTAGATTGAAGCATTTTCCTAGAGCTAAGAAGGATGTGGGACAGGATTACATGGTTACCACTGACCTTGATTCCTGTAGTTTACTTTCAAATACATAGCCCTGGTTTTCTTTTTTAAATGCTATCTTTATCATTTATACTTTGATAAATTCTCTTCCTTTTCATTTGCTAAAACGGTAGTTGATTTTTCTTTCAAACTCTTAAGTTAGAAAAATCAAATCTTGTGCAACTGGCAGATCAGTAGGACAGTGTTAGCAGTAGTTTTCTAGTGGGTAGAAGTTTTTGGCTGAAGTGAGACTCATGAGTGTGTATGGTGGAACTCACTCCTGGGCCATTCATTCTGTCAAATACTTGGGAAAAAAATCACATTTCTGTGAAAATGTTGAGGTAATTCTGAAATTTTTTTTGGATAGTTGATTTTTTGCATTAGTAAGCTTTTGTAGATAAATATCTGGATTCCCAGGGGGATATTCATGTGGCATTTGTGACCAGAAGTTCAAAACTATTAAGTATTTCAATGGAATTTCAGTTGTAATCTTAGTTATATATATTTTTGTACAGAGATCCATATTCAGTTTTTAAAACAACACACTATTAGTATGTATTTTGAGTTATTGTGTTTGTTGCTAGTAAATTTTGTAGTGTCTCCTCCTGTTTTCTGATTGATAAGTTTTGAAACAGCACAGCACACGTGAATTTTCTGTAAAGTAGGAAATGACTCACAGTGAAGTTCTAATGTATTATTTGTAAGTAAAGCACTTAAGAAGTAATACTATTTTCTTTGGCTTTATTTGTTTGCTTTTCTAGGACTTACATGAGCTAAATAATTTTGGTTAAATACGCTAGTGCTATAATCACTGTCAGCAATTACTCTATGGCTTTTCATTTGGTAACAGGTGATTTCAAATCAGAGAAGTCCAATGGGGAGCTCAGTGAGTCACCTGGAGCGGGAAGAGGGGCATCTGGCTCGACGCGAATCATCACCAGGTTGCGGAACCCAGACAGCAAGCTCAGTCAGCTCAAGAGCCAGCAAGTGGCAGCCGCAGCGCACGAGGCTAATAAATTATTTAAGGAGGGCAAAGAGGTGTGTTCTTCTCAAAAAGCATTTAATTAGTTTGTGTAAAAGGGGGAACCAGCAAGTGTGCATGGATTTTTGGATTGTCTTTTTTCTTCCTTTCCCAGAGTGGTGGGTAGTAATATGGTAAGTGTTTGGTTTATGATTGTTTGATTTCTTTTTATCAGAAAGGCAGATATACCGAGAGAAGGAGATGCATAGAGAAAGATCCTCTATCCACTGATTGGCTTCCCAAGTGGCCGCAACGTCCAGAGCTAAGCTGGTCCAGAGCCAAGAGCTTTTTTCCGGGTCTACTTTTTGGGTGTAGGGTCCCAAGGTTTTGGACCGTTCTCAACTGCTTTCCCAGACCACAAACAGGGAACTGGAAGGAATATGGAACAGCCATGACATGAACTGGTGTCCATACGGGATCCTGGGGCATGCAAGGCGAGAACTTTAACAACTAGGCTACCACCTCGAGCCCCCTGCTTCTTTTTAAAAGAAGTTGCTTTCATCTACTTGGAAGATATAGCAGCAGAGAGTGAGAAAGAAAGAGAGAGATAACTTCTATCCACTGATTCCCTCCACAAAGCTGAAGTAGGTAGGGTTATGACTGGCTGACGTCATGAGCCTGAAACTCCCATCCAGATTTCCTGTATGGTGACAGGTCTCCAGTCATCCGTGCTGCCTTCTTTTGCCTGCCAGGATGCTTTAGCAAGAAGTTGGGTTGGAAGCAGAAGAGTGGGGGACTTTAACCAGTGGTCTGAGAAGGGATGAAGGTGTCCCCAGCTGTGTATTATACCCTGTCTATGCCCAATGTTTACCCATTGTGTATAGCTCCTTAATACTGTTCTCTATAATTCCAAAGAAATAGTTTTCTTTTTCACATGTGATAACAAGTAAAGTTTTGGTGAGTTTTATTTGAGCTGTGGATGATCTACTGCTCAGTTCTGGCCATGATCACTTTGAGTGAGCCTGCAACTAAAAGATAGTAAAGTACAGCATCCCAGCTGTGATTGTGAACGATAGAATCAAAACTACTAGCCATGATGGTACACCAGTGTCCGCAGCCAAAGCTCAGATTTGAAAATGACTTGCAGGATAGATATACAAAGACATATATTGTATTTTTTTTTTAAGGAAGACTTTATTTTAGGATGGACAGAAAGGGGAAAGGTGGATGAAGAAAAAGTGGGAGTAAAGCCCTTGACAGAATTCAGGGGATTTGAAACTAGGTTTCATTCCCAATGTATTTTTCCTTTAAAACTTTTTATTTGTTTGTTTGAAAGAGTGACACAGAGAGAGGAGAGAGAGGTAAATCTTTGAACTAGTTGTCAGATGCCTGTTAACAACCAGATTTGGGCCATGCTAAAGCCAGGGCAGCAGGACTTGTCAGCATCTGCAGCCCCAGGCCCATTTGCAGGAGGCTGCACCATATGGATCATTTGATCCCTGGTTCCGTGCTAGGCAGTGTTTGCATCCCAAGCTGTGTCTTAGCCCAGTGCACTACAGTGTCCGCCTCCTAAAATTTACTTTCCTTAATAAATCGGTTGCTTTAAAGCAGTGGTTTTAAAACTTCATTTTGGCTCTGACCCTCACCATCATGCACATTTTTTTGTTCTGAATCAATTCAGCATGTGCATTTAAAGGTTTCCTCTGATAGTTGCTTTACTGCATAGAAGGCACTCGGGTGTTTTTCTCTTCTAGTCTAACACTTTTTTAAAAAGCCGAATAAGATTCCCACTGTTATTCAAAGACTACTAAAGGGTTGGGGTTGCTGTTTGAAAACATGAGATTAAAGAATCCATGGGCTTCTAGCCTGAAAGCTGGACTATAAAAGGAACAGAAGAAAAAGTATTTTTAGGAGAAGTAGAACATGTAATACCTCCTATCCCACCAGCATATGTCTAAAACATGGTACAATGAAAAGGTGAATGATCTATACAGAGTTTCGCTTCTATTGAGATTCATCAAAGTGCTTAACTAACGTGTAATAGGTGTTGTTGGTTTTTGTTTTGTTTTGTTTGTTTTTTTTACTTTTATTTAATCAGCTTAGCTGGTAGCTTTTAAATTTGAAAATCTTAATCGTAAGATGACTCTTGAAATTACTGTTTACAAGTGTGGTAGGATGGTTGATCAGACAGATAACCTCTTTGGCATTTATAATGGAGTTGTTTTATTTTCCTGGCCAGGTATTGGTTGTTAACTCACAAGGAGAAATTTCTCGGTTGAGCACCAAAAAGGAAGTAGTCATGAAAGGAAATATCAGCAATTATTTTAAATTGGGTCAAGAAGGGAAGTATCGCGTCTACCACAATCAGTACTCCACCAATTCATTTGCTTTGAATAAGCACCAGCACAGAGAGGATCATGACAAGAGGCGACATCTTGCACATAAGTTCTGTCTGACTCCAGCAGGAGAGTTCAAGTGGAACGGGTCTGTCCACGGCTCCAAAGTCCTCACCATCTCCACCCTGAGACTGACCATCACCCAGCTGGAAAACAACATCCCTTCTTCCTTTCTTCATCCCAATTGGGCTTCACACAGGTAAAGAAAGCCATGTCAATTTCTTTCTGTAACTATTCTAAATTAAAATGATTGTTTGTGTCTACTTTAAAATGTCATTACCGATGAATTAAGTGAACTACTCAGTTTGATCGTTGAACAGTGGGGAAGCCAGAGGTAGCATACTCCTGATATACTCCGAATTTACTGAGCCCACACTACTTCTGGGAAGATTTTTAGGAGGCAGTCTTTAGCATGAAATAAAGTAGAGACCATGTGAAGTTCCAAAACATGCTTGAAAGTTAAGGTACTGGAGAAATGAATGACCTCTGAAATTCTTTTCCAATGTTTAAAATGTATGATTCTGTGAAAATGAATCCTCCAGAAACCTCAAACCACAAATTATTACAATAGAGTTATTATGAATTAGACCTATTATGCTTTCAATTTAAAATAACCCAAATGAAATAATTTTCTTCTTCTGAAACACAGGGCAAATTGGATCAAGGCAGTTCAGATGTGTAGCAAACCCAGAGAATTTGCACTGGCTTTAGCCATTTTGGAGTGTGCAGTTAAACCAGTTGTAATGCTACCAATATGGCGGGAATCTTTAGGACATACCAGGTAAGTGAATTCTGAGGCTTGTAAAAGATAAATAATGGACCTTGCAAAAACATAGTATATTAATTATGAAAGTTAATGTTTGTAAAAGAGACCTTGTTAAGGACTTTATTCTTGTTCATTGCCTTCTTCTGTGTCATATAAATGTGAATGAACATTCTTGTGGTCCACACAGCTGAAGATCAGAAAAAAAAAAGTGATGAAACCTAAAGATACTTTGTCAAATAAAAAGCATTTTTATTGATAAGAAAGAGCATCACACTTTCTGAGTGTGTGTCATGGAACATTCCAGTTGCTCTGTTAGCAATGTGACTTGTATTTCTTTTCATTTAACGTCTAAGTAAACTCATAATTTACCTTGAGCAGATGATGAAAAAGGTAAAAATTATGACTTCATTCTTTTTAGGTCTGGGTTATTTTTAACTTTTATTAGTTCCAGAATAAAATTATTATGAGGCATAGGTTACAGTGCAGTGTGGTAAGCTAGTGCTTGGAGTACACCCACATTCTGCGTCAGTCTCAGCTACTCCATGCTGCTGCCACGCCACCTGCTGCGTTGCCTGGGAAACAGCAGATGGTGGTCTGAGGAGTTGAGTTCCTGCCACCCATGTCAAAGGCATGAGTTACCTTGGCTTCTGTCTTTGGCTTGGCCCAGCACTAGCTTTTGTGGATATTTTGTTGTGCGACCTAGCACAGGGAAGTTCTTCTCCCTTTCTCTCATTCTGCCTTGCAATGATATATAATAATGTTGTTAAGAAGTTAATGAGTATGAGTCCATGTTTAAAAATGCAAATATTCGAGTACAAAGCAAATCATGCTACCGTCTTTGCCTTCTCATAGAGTGCAATCCAAAAGTATAGCCTTGTACTTTTTAAAATGTTAATGCTTTGTGTTACTTTTTGTATGTTTTATTTTACAATAAAATATTTTTAATCAAAGGAAATTCAGGGTTGGGCATGTGACATAGTGGGTTAAGGCCTCACTCGGGATGCTCACATCCCATGTTGTGTGGGGTTGCATCCTGTCCAGCTTCCTGCTAAGGTGCCCAGGAAGCAGCAGTAAAGATCCAGGTACTTAGGTTGCTACCACCGACATGGTTGATCCAGATGGAGTGCCTGACTCCTGGCATCTGCCGGCCCAGACCTGGTGCTGCAGGTGTTTTCCAGAGTGAACCCATTGGTTGAGTATCTTTGTCACTCAACTTTTTTGTGTCTAAAATTCATTATTTCATATAAATAGAAATGAATAAATGAACATTGTTTAAGAAGGAAAATTAAATTTATTCCTGCTAACCGTTTTTCAACCAATTGAAAACACTCCATTTTATCTTTGCTGTTGTCCACATGTAAGTTTGTTTTCTTGCAATCTTGACTATAATTGGCATCAATAGAGGCTTCCTCAGATGAAGTAGAAAGATTGAGACTGGTGTTTGACCTAGAGATTAGATTGTTTGGTATTTGAGCTCTCTGTATCCAAATCAGAGTGCTGACATGTACCATGGCAGGCAGGTGATGATTCAAGTAGTTAGGTCTCTGCTACCCATGTGGAGTAAGTAGCTGGGTTAAAATTCAAGGATTCTGGGTTACACCTGGCCCAGCCCTAACTGTGGAGAGTTATGGGCATTTGAAGAGTGAGCCATTAGATGGAAAAATTTTCTCTCATGTGTGTGCCTTCAAATAATAAAATAATTAAAATATAATAAGTCATGGTGAAACTGTGGTACAGGTGCAAAAAGAGACAAATATAACAATACTAGACAGAATTAACATCACAGAGGAGAAGCTGTAGAAGATCATGGGTCAGATAGTGGTCTATCTTAAGGAAAATGGTACTGCTTCTTTATACCACATAGAAAAGTGCAATTTAAGACAGAGTAAGTTATAATATATGTATATATATATATATTTTTTTAAGATTTATTTTTATTATTTTTTCATTGGAAAGACGGATATACAGAGAGGAGAGACAGAGAGGAAGATCTTCCGTCCGATGATTCACTCCCCAAGTGAGCGCAATGGGTTGATACTATGCCGATCCGAAGCCAGGAGCCTCTTCCAGGTCTCCCACGTGGGTGCAGGTTCCCAAAGCTTTGGGCCGTCCTGGACTGCTTTCCCAGGCCACAGGCAGGGAGCTGGAAGGGAAGTGGCGCTGCCGGGATTAGAACCGGCGCCCATATGGGATCCCGGGCGTGCAAGGCGAAGACCTTTAACCACTTGCGCCACCGCACCGGGCCCGACAGAGTAAGTTATAATGTGAAAAATGGACAGGTGTTCGCCATACTTAACACTACTGTTTGAATGCCTGCATCTTGTATTAGAATTTCTGGATTCAGGTTTCAGCTGTATTCCTAACTCCAGCTTCTTGCTAATACGCATCCTAGAAGGTCACAGGACTTGTTGAGACCTTGCTGCCTGTTTGGGAGACCTGGGTGGAGTTTGTGGCTACTCACTTCATCCCAATCCCAGCTATTGTGGGTATCTGAGAAGTGAACCAGTGGATGCATTCTGTCTTTCTGTCTCTGCCTTTTAGAAATAGGTGCATTCATATATACAGATAGGAATTCCAAGTGGAAAATGCAGAATATTATTTTTCGGTTCTAGTGGAAGTTCACACCTCCCATCTCCATTTCCTTCTTTCCTCTCCCTTTTCTCTTTCTCATGATCGTTTTCTTTTTTTCCCTGATCTATTCAGTATGTCTTAATAGGTGCATAGCACAGGTAGGGTTTCTGTCACTGATAAGCATGTGGTTAGATGAGAGTGAATCTGGTGTGTGTATGTATGTTATACATGCCACTTCCTTTTATATGTTAATCAAGTTATGCATTGACAACATTTTATGTGATATGTAATGGGTAATAATAAATTTAAAACTGAAACTACCAGCTTAACATTATTGTATTAGGTTTTTACTCATCTTACTTTGATTCTTGCATGAGATAACCACAGTTTGTAAGTTTATGTTACTTATTTTTATTGTGTATATTTTGCCACATATGTACCTATCAGTAAATAGCAGGTTGTTTCTTTATTACTGTTTAACTTTATAATAATGCATCATTCCAAAAAAGCCCAAGACGTGGACTGTATGAAGTTATTTCATTGTTTTATTGTACTATTATCACATAAGAATTAATATTCACAAAATACTTAAGAGCTCCAGCTTTTCTGTAAGCCAAGAAACCCAAGCCATGTAGTAAGTAGAAGATCAAAGATATAAACCTAGCTCAAACAAGATGCAATCCAAATAGCCCAAGAAAATGACGCTTTTCCTTGGGAAGTTAGTAACAGCATGTTACAACCGAGGGCCATCGATTTATCCCTCAGGATTGCTAGAGCTGCAAGAGTATTGACAAACATGTCATGTAATAGGAGGAAGACTGATACTTTCTGATTACAGAGCAGTAGTGTAATGATTAATGTAAATAGAAGTTTGATTTTAAAAATGACAAAGATGAAGTTCTTAACATCATGGAGGAAACGTGTGTATAAATAAGAAAAATGCGTAGAAGGATGATCTTTGTGTTTCATGGTGGACACATTGGGATGCAGTTCATACGTGCCCATTATTTGGAATGTGTTAGTTGTAATATTACCATATATTGAACTAGTATACAGCAATGAAAATCAAACCAGAACAAGAGTCAATGAAATTGAATCTCACAAAAATAGAATATAGTATAAACGATTCAATTGTAAAAACAAGTGTCATATGAGAAACTTTGTATAAAGCTTAAAGATTTTTATAGTATATAAATGTATGATTGAGCTTTTAAAAGTTTGAGAAAATGCATGTAGATTTTAAAAAACAATTATTTATTTGAAATAGTTAGGGCAGGGGAGTGTTATCTTCTGTCATCTGATTCATTCCACAAATGCCCATAACAGCAAGGGCTTGGCCAAACCAAAGCTAGGAGCCAGAAAATTCTTCCAGGTTTTCCATGTAGTTTCAGGGACTCGAGCATGTGGGCCAAGCTCTGCTGCTTTCCCAGGCATATCAGCAGGGATTTGGATTGGAAATGGACAGCTAGGACAATAACCAGTACTCCTATGGTAATTCAGTGTTGTAGATGGTGGTTTTACCCATTATGCCACATTGCCAGCCTTTTAAATGTATTTGAAAAGCAGAGAGAGGGAGGGAAATCTCTTATCTGCTTATTTGCTCCCCAATTTTCACAACTCTTCCAGTTGAGCCAGGTCAATACCAGGAACCCAAAACTTAATCCAGGTAGCTCCTGTGGGTAGCAGAGATTCAAGTCCTTTATTCATCACTTGCTGCTTTTGTGTATTAGCTGTGAGCAGGCTCAGAAGCAGTGTCAGGACTCAAACCCAGGCATTCTAGTGTGAGATATGGGCATCCCAAGCAGCTTCTTCACCCTACATCGGATGCCTGCGCTTACATATTATTTAAATTATTATTTTTTAATTTATTTGGAAGTTGGTGAGAATGAGAGCAACAGAGAAACACAGAAAGATTTTCTGTTCTGCTGGTTAACTGCCCAGTTGAGTGCAGCAGCCCTGATTTGGTCAGGCCGAAGCCTTATCTGTCATCCTGTTGGTCACTATAGCAGGAAACTGGACTGGAAGTGGAGCAACCAGGATGTTCATCAGAATTCATGGGATTCTCTCATTTCAGGCAATGGTTCTACCCATGGTATTTGTATTGTTTAGGGAATAGGCTTTTCTTGTTTGTTTGCCTGGGTTTTTTGTTGTTGTTTGTTGTTTGTTTTGTTTTTATTGTTGAAAGGCAGAGTTACAGAAGGATCATGTATCTACTGGTTGTTTTTGCACATAGCCACATTGGCTGAGGCTGGGTCCGGCTGAAGCCAGTAGACAGGAGATTCAACGGGGTCTCCAGGATGGGTGGAGACCCAAGGCTTTGGGCCATCTTCTGCTGCTTTCCCAGGCATGTTAGGAAGGAGCTGGGTGGGAGCTGGAGAAGCCAGCAGCCTAGGATATTGACATTTATGGTGAAAGTTTGAAGAAGTATAAGGGCTATGTATTTCAAACCTAAGAAATATAAATGTGTAACACATGGTTAGATAATAATAGAAACCAGCTATCTGATCTGGATGTTCACTGTTCAGTTGCTAGATGCAGTGAAGAATTGCTAGGGAAATTGATGTTTTCAATACTTTTAAATTCAATATTTATATCAGGATTCAGTATACTAGGAAAGAAAAACTGAGATAACTGAGTATACATCTCAAGCAGTCATCCCAATGAGAGGAAATAGGAGAGAGTAGAATTGATGAACTAGAAAGCAGAGTTGCTGTAGTTACAGTGTAGTTACAGTTATAATTCATAAACCTCCGGCAGGATTCTCAAGGAAGTAAAATTATAGGAAAACACAAACTGTTCATTTTAAAGATTAAAAGGGAACATACTAACCAATATTTATGATTCTGTCACTAGAGGGCTTAGTAACATAGTGCAAACTGAATATCTTTTGTTTGAAATATACAGGATTAGAAGTGTTTGGGATTTCAAATGTTTTCAGGTTTTGGAATTTTTCCATATGCATAATGGTATATCTTGGGGGAAAAGACCCCAGTCTCTGCATACCTTGTATACATGACCCCAGTGTGATTTATGCTGTACTGATAGTGTCCTTATGTTTTGACTCTGTACCACCACGTGAGGTCATGTGTCGAATTTTCTACTAATGACTTTATGTTAGTACTCAACAAAGTTGGGGTTTTGTAAAATTTCCGATATTTGGATTAGGCTTGCCCACCTTTTATTCAGACTTCCTGCATCCACAAAAAAATGGTTGACAGGTTCACTTAGGAGAGGACACATGCTGGGGAAGCAAGGCTGTGCTCAGCTCATTAGACCGCAGAGCTTCGGCTGCCCTGGAACCCGAGTCGGTAAACACACGGTAGAACCAGATGAGTTTGTAAGTTCTTTCTCAAGCTTCAAAAGTTGGAATCTTATTGAAACTTTTACCAAAATAAAGGGGGAGCTCCTGTAAATTATAATTTTTATTAGTATAAAAATTGAAAGTAGAAGTAGACAAACAGAATGTTATAGCCTAGTCTTCTATCTTAATATTTATCATTGATTAATACTTGATAGCAAATAGGTATATATACAAGAAATCTTAAGTTAACATTTTTAGCAAATATATTCAGGAATAAATTAAAAGAATAATAAATCATGGCTAAATTGGCTTCACCCTAGGCATGGAAGACTTGTTCAATAATAGGAGATTATTAAAACCATGCTATTTTAAGAAGTCAAAGAAAGAAAACTTTGATCATCTCATTAGATGCCAAGAAGGTATTTGTCAAAGTTTATTACTAATTTTAGATTTTTAGATAAAAGTTAAGTAGGAATATATGAAGTCATTTTCTAGTTTTTTGGTGAAGATTTATTTTAAACAGAATCATGGTTTTTGGTGTTGCCGTTGGAGGATTCTCATTAATATTCAGAAGAAAGAAAGCAAAAATGTTCTCTGATATCACTGTGTTAAACTTTCTAGAAGCACTATATAATGAAGTTTGCAGCACAGTGCTGGGCTAGAATGGAGGACCTGGAAACAGCCGTAAGCCTGTGGAAATGTATCTATGGGAACATTGCCCATCATGCTGGATGAGGGTGTACCTAAACCTACACATTAGCAAACACTTTTGAATTGATAAAGACTAAAAAAAAAGAAGGGAAAAAAAAAGCCTCAGTAAGAAAATACAAGCTAATTTGTTTTTTGTTGTGATCCTTTCTTTTCAAACAGATATAAAACCCAGGTGCCTTACAGGAGAAAAATGAATGCATGTTTTAAAAATTCCGAGTGGAAAAATATTGTTGTAATCAAAAGGCAGATGACAAAACTAAGAAAAAATATTTGTACTACAAATGGAAAAATTTCCTTAATTGACAGAGACCTTGTATAAATGAGAAGGACTGTTAGCCCAGTACAAACAAGACAAAGGATTTGAGCAGGCATTTTGCAGAAAAATAAATGTGTAAGGCCAGTAGACATAAACAATAATTATTTCTCATAATTAAGGTGCAGTTAGGTAGTGCATTTTACCTCTCCTTCAGGCGGTGCATTCAGAGATTGATATAAAGTCAGCTGCAGTGAAGCTATGGGAGTGGGAGAGCAGGTTGGCATTTTAATTGACAGTAGAGGGAGACACATAGTTCTGGAGAGCTGTTTGGTGCCATCTGTCAACTCTGCTCTCCCCCCTGTGGGGACCTGGATGGGTACTCCCGAGCTTCCCAAGAAAGTCTTATTGCATGTGGCTTATTGAAAGTGGCTTATTGCATGTTTGAGTGTAAGAGCAAACCAAACGTAGCAAAGCTCTGAGCCTTGTGTGGCGATGGGAAGCAGTGCTGAAGCTCCACCTAGTCCCCTGACCTGAAGGTGCCTTTGCCTCTAACCTGAGGACTGTCTTCCTGCCTGTGAGAGCAGACTCTCCCCAAGGCAGCAAGTCGCAGATTAATCATGTCACCTTACTGACTTGGTGTTCTCAGCAGAGTTAGCCTATATTTGGTGATGAGGAAGAACTTGCTAGCCTTGTAAACACTGAGTCCAGCTCTACCTCCCAGAGTGTACCTGTGCGAGTATTCTTCACACACTGCTGCTCGCCGTTGGCAAAGCTGGCTTGGCTGCTGGCCTGGATCAGACCTTGGGGGGGGGGGGGTGTGGGAGCCACACCCACCAACACCTTGAGAAATCCTAGTTGGTTTTGGTGCAAGTACTGTCAGCTTGTGTACCCTGCTGTCCTCCTGAGCTCACCCCACTGCCGGTTCCTTGAGTGGTGATTAATGGGCGCTGTTTGAGACAGCACAGCCCAGCGAGAATCTGCTCTTACCCTACATCACTTATGAGAAACTAGGAACCTTCTGTAGAATTCACTGACCTAGTGGTGTGTGGTAACAGGCTCTAGTGCTTAGCCTAGGAGGAGTACTGTGAGGTCCCACATCCACAAGGACAAAACATCTTGTTAAAACAAAAGAGGGGGTGGGGCTAGAAGGCCATTATTAGAGGGTAGAATGGGGATATAAAGAACAAATTACCTCTTGCATTTTTCTAGCATCACCACCCCAGGTTGCCAGTCCTCCCTTCTTTGTGTGTGCTTGAGTGTGAGAGGTTAGTTGTATGTAAGAGGCTGGCTCCTTCTGGGTGTGAGAAAAGCAGTTCTATCACTAGAATGCTCAGAGTAGGTTTCCGTGCATGTCTCCTGAAGATGGATGTTCCTCCTCTTGGCAGTCTCATTCCTTACATGTGGTGCTCAGGCACACCCCTCAGTGCTGGAAGAAGTGGTGCCTGTTGTCCTGTCCGAGAAAAAGCAATGATTGAGATCAGCATGGACCCTCCTTCCTTAACCTTCGTTCTGTGTGGCTAAGGAAGCTTGAGTTCTGTGAGAGGGCCCTGTGCAAACTGAAAATTTGCATTGCAAGTGAGAATCAAGAATACTGGTTGGTAGACTGAATGGAGTTCCTGACTTCTGGTTTCACGTGGCCCAGTGCTGTTGTGGCAGCTGCATGAGGACTGAACCATAGGATGAAAGATACCTCTTTCTGCACCTTGCTTTGTCTTTCAAATAAATAAATAGGCTTAAAATAGTGACTGATAAAATTGCAGGCATTTACTGGTCTTTGTGTTTTCGGAGTGGGAAAATTCTGGAATCATAGTTATCTTTTTAATAGGAAATTAGTTCAATACATTATGATATGTTCAGGCTATAATGTGTCTTTAAATTATTGATAAAGATCTATATTCTGATTTAGAAAGGTCACTTAATATAATAATTGAATTAAAATTGTACTTGTGTGTACTATCAATACTTTTTGAATAAATACATAATGGATTATAGACATTTATAAATTTTAGTAAATGCGTGAAATAGTTTAGAGATAGATCATCTATATTTCCTTGGGGAGGACAGATATGTTTTTCTCTTTTTTATGTTTGTGGTGGATTTTCCTTTTGTAGCACATATAGAACCGTAACATTCTTTTTTATCAGTTTGGATTGTCTACATTATGATACTCAACCAGCTGTCATTTTTTTGTCTAATTTTAAGTACTGCATTTTTACTTTGTTTCTTTTTCAAAGTTAAATGTAATTCTGTCTTTATTCATGTGTTCTTAGGTTGCACAGGATGACATCAATTGAAAGAGAAGAAAAGGAGAAAGTCAAAAAAAAGGAGAAAAAGCAGGAAGAGGAAGAAACAATGCAGCAAGCTACATGGGTAAAATACACATTTCCCGTGAAACATCAGGTAATTCAAATAGTGTTAGCTCTTTCTTCCCTAAGAGAATGCTTTATATGTTGTTTTACTTTCGACACAATATTTTAACTAAAAACTTGGGACAAAATAGATCCTTCTGGAATTTATAGGGATAAGTTTGTGCATATAGAAAGTAGGAGGGTTATGAGACCAGCTTGTTGAAATTGTTAGAAAACCTATAAAACTGTATTAAAAATTGACTGTTAAAAGAAAAAGTAAGCTCTTCTGTAAATGTTAGATTTTACGTTTAATTTGCCTGACTCAATATTGTTAGTAAAAGCATTTTTAAAACCACAGCTACCCCATAAGCACTGTTATTGTGATTTAATCGCAGTGTTTTCATTTATGCCAGGTTTGGAAACAGAAAGGAGAGGAATACAGAGTTACAGGATATGGTGGCTGGAGCTGGATTAGTAAAACTCATGTCTATAGGTTTGTCCCAAAATTGCCAGGCAATACGAATGTGAATTATAGGAAGACATTAGAAGAAAGTAAGTAATTGAATGATTTTAAAAGTTAAGTTTAATATGTATAACAAGTTTTAAATAATATTTAATGTCGAATTAATAGTAATTTTTCTCCAAAACCATTTATGATTTCTTTAAAAAAAAAAAAAAAGATTTCTTTATTTTGATTGGAAAGGCAGATATATGTAAATACAGAGAGGAGGAAAGACAGAGAGGAAGATCTTCCATCCAATGGTTCACTCCCCAAGCAGCCGCAATGGCTGGAGCTGAGCCAATCCGAAGCCAGGAGCCCAGAGCTTCTTCCAGGTCTCCCACAGGGGTTCAGGGCCCAAAGCCTTGGACCATCCTCAACTGCTTTCCCAGGCCACAAGCTGGGAGCTAGATAGGAGGCGGAGCTGCCAGGACTAGAACCAGTGCCATATGGGATCCCAGCATGATCAAGGCAAGGACTTTAACCTCTAACACTATTGCACCAGATCCCATTTATGATTTCTATTGTTATCTATTCTATAAATCATCATGTATAGACCCTGTTTTGGAAACCACATATTTCTGAAATTTTAAATATAGAATATTTTTATATGTAGAATTGCTAATCTAGTTTACTAATTATAAACAAATTTGACCTTGGTGCCTTTGTCTGATGATGCGAGCGTCTTTTAGTGGGTAGTTTGGTAGACCTGGTCTTCAGCTTTGGGTACAGCAAGTGATGATGCCAGAAGCTAAGTCCCTGCCACCCACACGAGACATCCGGGTGGAGTTCCAGACTCTCAGCTTGGGCATAGCTCAGCCTCTATTGATGTGAACGTTTGGGAAGTGGACTAGCATACTACGGACCTTTGTGTAAATCTGTCTCTCTGACTTCCGAAAATATTAAATTTTAAAAATTTTAATATATTTTGGTCACAAGATTTAGGTATCTGGGTTTCAGGTTTAAAACAATGATAGAACTTAGTGAATAAGACGTTAACCATGTAATTACAGTGCTGTTTTTCAAAAAATTAAGTTAATGTCAATTGACTTCTTTGAATAGTCACATAGGTTAAAGCCTCAACTTTATTTTATTATACTTTATAAAACAAGAAAGTGATAACAGGCATTCCAAAGACTGTCAATAAATGATAACAACTACTGTTTAACGGTGTTAGACCTGTTATTTCCCAAAACAGTGGAAAGCTTGATCTGCTCACATAATGATGGCACAGCTGTGATAAAAAACAGAAATGTAGAGGCTGGCATGACATAACAAACTAAGCCTCTGCTCATGGAGCTGGCATCCTGTTTGAATAGTTACTCATGTCTTGGCTGCTCTACTTCCAATCCAGCTCTGTGCTAGTGGCCTGAGGAAGCAGTGAACCATTTCCCAAAGTCCTATGTCCTTTGCACCCACATGGGAGGACCTGAAGAATCAGCCCAGCTGTTGCCATTTCATCCATTTATGGGATGAAACAGCAGATAGAGATCTCTCAGTCTCTCTCTGTCTGAAACTGCCTCTCAGATTAGAATACTTCCTTAAAAAAAAGACACGGAACTGTAGTTCAGAGTGTGCTTGATGTGAGGAGTGTCACGCAGTGTCTGCTGGCTGACATTGTTGTAAAACCAGGCACTTCTGCTGTGCATGAAGTTTTGGGCTCCTCTGAGAATACGGGCAGTACTTTTCTTGTGTCAGGAAGATTTTAACGGGGAAACAACTGAAACATTTTACTATTTTAAATGTCAAGATTGTGAAACATAGTTGTGGCTACCACTGGCTCATAATCTGTGGAGCAGCTCAAGTGTAGGCATCTAGTACCTTTAGCTTTTGTTCTGTTTTAATGAAAAACAGTAAAATAAATTGAGGAATTCTTGATTATTTTAATCAATTTAGATATTTAAAAATAATGCAAGTTGCTAATATTAGATGCACCTGTAATTGCTTTATTTTTGTTTTTTTAGCTGCTGGTAAAGTGGATGAAAATATGGATGAGTCAGATAAAAGGAAAAGTCCACGAAGTCCCAAAAAAATAAAAATGGAACCTGACTCTGAGAAAGGTGAAGTGAAAGATGCTGCCCAGGGAACAGCCCAGAGTGAAATGGACATCTCCAAGAGTACTGAGAAGGACCAAGGTAAGGGACCACGGGGGAGGTGAGCCTGCATAGTACTGCCAGGCTCCCACCCAGCGGAAGTGCTCACCACTGCATTTTCTCTCTTTACATTTTACCGTAACAGAGGCCAAGCAAGGAATGATGTGTTGTTCCTTTTAGACATGCTTTAGAAACATAACTTAGATCACACAATTTACTCAAACTGTGTAAGTTCAGTGGGGTTTAGTATATTAGCCAAATTATTCAGCCTTTACCACACTTGATTTTAGAACCTCCTCATTACCCTGAAAGGAAGCCTCATTAGCTGTCACTTCCCAGGCTCAGCCCACCTGCCCGTTTTCCATCCTTGCATGTGAGTGGACTCTTGTAAAATGTGGGCCTTTGTGACTGGCATCTTTCATCTGGCGTGTTAGTTGTACAGTTCATCCATATGTGATATGTGTCAGTGCTTTGGACGTTTTTATTTCCAAATAATGCTCCATACTATGGATATGCCACATCGTATTCAGGTATTAAGCAGTGGACATATAGCAGGCTCTTCTGTTTTTTTGTCTGTAATGAGTAGTGTTCCTGCAAGCATTTGTGCGCATGTTTCTTTGTGGACATATATTTTCACCTATCTTGGATCTCCACCCAGGAGTGGAATTTACTTGATCATTTGGTAACTCTTTAGCCTTTTAAGGACTTGACATTGTTGTAAAACATGCTTTTGTCAATATTACATAAGCTAAAAAAATGAATGTACCTAAGGTTTCTTATAGCTATTATACACTACACAAAATCTTACATGATGGTGTTGGTTGTAGCCTGTAACATAGTGTTTTTTTGTATTATTGCAACACATCATTTTTAGATACTAAGGATAGAGCATTAAATATTTGGGATTCTTATTTTTTAAGATTTATTTATTTTTATTACGAATTCAGATATACAGAGAGGAGGAGAGACAGAGAGGAAGATCTTCCGACCGATGTTTCACTCCCCAAGTGAGCGCAACGGCTGATGCTATGCCAATCCAAAGCTGGGAACCAGGAACCTCTTCCAGGTCTCCCACACGGGTGCAGGGTCCCAAAGCCTTGGGCCGTCCTCAACTGCTTTCCCAGGCCACAGGCAAGGAGCTGGATGGGAAGTGGAGCTGCCGGGATTAGATCCGGTGTCCATATGGGATCCCGGCGCATTCAAGGCGAGGACTTTAGCCACTAGGCCACGCTGCCGGGTCCAAGGTGGATATTTTTATAGATGAAAATATTGTCATGAATTCCTTATTTCAGGGTACAAATTGCATTTATATAAATGTCTTTATTTCACAGATGTGAAAGAGCTTTTAGATTCTGACCATAATAAATCCTTCAAGGAAGAACCGATGGAAATAGATGATGTGAAAACAGAATCACCTACGAATTGTCAGGAAAGTTCTCCAGTAGATGTGGTCAATGTCAGTGAGGGTTTTCATCTAAGGACTTGTTACAAAAAGAAAGCAAAGTCATCTAAACTAGATGGACTTCTTGAGAGGAGAATTAAACAATTTACACTGGAAGAAAAACAGCGCCTTGAAAAAATGAAGTTGGAAGGTGGAATTAAAAGTCTGGGAAAATCTCCTACAAGTTCTTTGAAAAGTCTCTCTGAGTCTCCAGTAACGGCAGTGAAAGAAGAGAATAAGAGTGACCTGCATAAACAGGAGCACAGCCCTACTGCAAGTTCTGATAAATGTGAGGACTTGATCCCAGAACGTTCACAAAATGATTCCTCCATTCTTGAAACTGCTGATCCTCGGCACACTCCAAATAAGCTTTACCCGAAAGAGTCGGTATCCAATGATGTCTCCATGCAGAGCCCAGTGATAAGCTCTCAGAAACAAAACTCTGTCAACAATGACACAGATGAGAACCTCCCTGACACAGCCAGTAAGGACCAGGAGCCCAGTAACATCAAAACAAAAGAAAGTGATTATTTCATTGATGATTCTAAGTTAGTGAGTGCACATTATGTCCCTACTTTGGGTCATCAGAAAAGAGCTCTCATACAAGACGAGAATGACACTGTCTCTCCTTCCAAGGACAGCTTCCTTCCCTCCACACCTAAAAGCACGAAAGCCATGGACTCGGAAGGAAAGCTGGGATGTGACTCTGAATGTAATAGCACCTTGGAGAATAGTTCTGATACAATGTCTGTCCAGGATAGCAGTGAAGAGGACATGGTTGTCCAAAATAGCACTGAAAGTGTTCCTGAACACATGATTCAAGAACAAAGTATTGAAAACTTGGAGCCGTTAAAACATCAGTTAGCTTCTGGTAAGTCCACTGGAAACTGCGATGACAGGCTACAGGGTAAGGTAACTGAAGCTAATGGTGAAAAGACAGGTCCACAGAAGAACTTAGAGGAGAGGCCAGTTAATAAATGTATTGATCAAGTAAATCTCAAAAATACAACTGACAAAAGGAATAATGAAAACCGAGAGTCTGACAAGAAAGGACAGAAAGCAAGTGCTCTTCAGATGAATGGTAATGAGAAAGCTAAAGTCCATTTGAAAAGTGAAAGCTTGAAAGATGTTTGTGAGAGTAAAGTAGTAGTTGGTAATGTTGAACGAAAGGTTAATAATATAAATAAAATAATCCCTGAAAATGATATCAAGTCTCTGACTGTTAAAGAGTCTACTGTAAAGCCATTCATTAATGGTGATGTCATCATGGAAGATTGTAATGAAAAAGTCATCTCAGAAACAAAGTCACATTTGCCAAGTTCTTTGGATACTGAAAATAACTACCGAGATAGCACGGGGAGCTTGCCACCAACCAAAGAATGTGACCATATACAGACCACTGCACCTCCACCATCGTATTCAGAAAAAAATTCAGCAAGTCAGGTAGAAGATATGGAAATCGAAACCTCAGAAGTGAAGCAGGTTACTCCATCACCCGTTACTTCTGGAGAAGAATCAAATCTCAGTAACGACTTTGCTGATGATAACAGTCCGCCCAACATCAATGGAGACTCCAAAAGAAAAACCGTCATCACGGAAGTTACTACGATGACATCTACAGTGGCCACAGAGTCAAAAACTGTAATCAAAGTAGCAAAAGGTGATCATCAGACTGTGGTCTCTTCCACAGAAAATTGTGCCAAGTCCACGGTCACCACCACCACCACCACAGTGACAAAGCTTTCCACACCCTCCACAGACAGCAGCGTAGACATCATCTCTGTTCAAGAACAGAGCAAAACTGTGGTCACCACAACAGTGACAGACTCACTGACCACTACAGGAGGTACTCTGGTGACGTCAATGACAGTGAGCAAAGAGTATTCCACAAAAGACAAAGTGAAACTGATGAAATTTTCAAGACCGAAGAAGGCTCGTTCAGGTACAGCTCTGCCATCCTATAGAAAATTTGTTACCAAGAGCAGCAAGAAAAGCATATTTGTTCTACCTAATGATGACTTAAAAAAGTTGGCCAGAAAAGGAGGAATCCGAGAAGTCCCTTATTTTAATTACAATGCCAAACCTGCCTTGGATATTTGGCCATATCCTTCTCCTAGACCCACCTTTGGTATCACTTGGAGGTATGTGTTTGAAAATGTATTTGGGGGAGGGACAAAGAATTTATTCATAAAAATAATGTCATTTTTAAAGTGAGAGTATAGAGATACATAAGAGAGGGAAGCATACATTTAATGCCCATGATAGTAATGGGAACAATATAGAAATGGTTTTTGAACTGGAACAGCCAGCTGGTAGGTACTAAGTTTACTTGGGGAAAAATATTTAAAGAATTAAAATTTTTAAGAGAATCGTTTGAAGTGAACTTAAATTCCACAGGACAAAGGGGATGTAGCAATCATGGTTGTTCTCATGATTTAGCCTTCCAAGGTGCTGTCACATATTTCTTTTGGAAAATACAAAATAACCACGCAAATGGATAATTAACTTTCTGGATATTTGCATTTTATTTCTACTTCTATAAGGTAATTCATAAGAACATAAGACATGAAAACATATCTATAAACTTCATCATGATTTGGAGGTCTTCCTGATATAACTGATTTGCGTGCTGAACATTTAGTTTTCAGAGTTTTCTGTTGTTTGTGTAAGAATTGGTTATCTGTAAGATTTCTTAGGAATTTTTTGAAACCCGGAAATAGTCCTATTTAACAACTTTCTGGGCAGTTAGGTTTTGGTCCCGAGTCCTAGGTTCAAAGTGGCAGCAGTTGTAAAGTCAGGCAGTTCAGGTTGAGAAGGGCTTTCACAGGAGCTCGTCTAGGGATGTACAACAGCTTGCCTCTAGCTAGTGAGGAACAGAGTCAGAAATCGTTGCTGGTTTTCCTAAAAATCATTCTAGTACTTGATGAGCTATATCACATTGCACACATTTGACCTTACTCTGTCCTGTTCATGTCTTGTGTCTTAGCCTTTTGCTCTTAAAAAAAATTGAGAATGATGGAACCTAAACAGTAAATACTTGGAGTTCTAGAAACAGACTTGGTCACCAGGGTTGACCCTAAGTTACAGTTAGATTTTGCTAAGACCATGAAATTATTATTTCAGCCAAGTATTAGGCAGATTTCAATTCTCTTTAGGCTTATTTCGGTGTGTCTTTTAATATGTGGTAAATAGTTTTAAGTTAAAATCATACTTTCATTGCCTTTTGATTATAGCCAGCTAATGTTACAAAAGACCAAAAAAAGTAAATAAGTACTTTTTGTAAAAGGATTTATTGACTAATTATGGTGGACAGGTCTCAGATTGTTCGACGAGGTTTTTAATAAGTCAAATTTGATGTGAAATAAAGTATCATCACTCCGTTACACAGTCCATAGAGACAGCTGAAAAGTACAATTTCTCTGCAGGGCCTGCAATGAAGGATTTGCAGAATCCTGCAGGGAATCAAGGAACTCTTCATTACAGTTCATGGATTTGTAGGATTGCTCTGCACTTTTCTGCTTTCTTCATTGAGAGCGGTCCCAAAATGTGTCCTTGACTGTCCTGCAGGTAACTTCTTTCCCACTGGAAAAGTTACTGTGTACAAATACTTGAGTTATAATGACCTGGCAGTTGTGGAGGCCGGCCCCTCTGTTTGTTCCTATTCTGAAACAGAAGGTTGGCCTAACAGGGAAGGATTTTCCTCCAAATTCTGAAGAATTTGTCACTGCTGCTAACTTGGTCTTGGTCAGAGTTCTCGGCAGGGCTGGGTGTCAGGAACCTGGTATTACGATGTGTAATTTTGTACTGTGACACCATGTGTGTCTTAGGGTTCATCTCTAATTTTTCAATGGAAAGAATTACCATTTTGTACATTTTGAACAGATACTGCCTTCACATATTTGCTATGGTCTTAATTTGCTTAAATGAACGGAAACACAATCACTTTTGTTTAACAGAAGTGTGGGAAATATGTAACTGATTCTTGACTTTAAACTGCATTAATATATTATATTATATATTGTATATATAATATTTCATTATAAAAATCGTGCATGTGAAATGTTTTTTTTTTTTTTTTTTTACTAACATTTGAGTAAGAAACATCTAATGCTTAGACTAGGAGGTAAGAATGCCCAAGGTGCATGTGTGACCTTTCTCAATTTAATTTTAATGCTGAGTAATCCTGAAGAACTGAAACTTGTGTCATAGAATCATTTGAGCCTCATTCCTCTCCTTGTTGTCTGTTCCCTTATAATCTTGTCCCCAGGCCATGGTTCTTTCTGTTTCATTATCTCTTTGGTTTGGTGGTGGTTTTCATTCACAATGCTTCCAGAAGGATCCTCCAAAATTGCCAGTGTATCCTATGAATTATCTGCGGGATCCTAGGGCCTTGCTTACTGCTGCAGGGAGGGAAAGAGGAAGAATTCTGTCAACTATGAATCCCCCTTGGGAGAACTTCCCTTTACTGCCTGTCCACTATTAAACCTTAAAAGCTTTAATGTATGGTCTTGAATATTCTTCTTTAAACCTTCAGTGTAGTACAGCACATCTGTCTTCAGCTTTCATCTTGAGCAAGATCATCACTTTGTGCACCTTCATACCCCTCCCCTCCAGCCTGACATGCCCAGTGCGGTTTCTGCAGGCACTGTGTGTTCCTGCACTTTCCTTGTAAGTGGATACAAGGCCTTGGCTGTAGTCTGCCACCCCTAAACCCCTTACTTGTCCTTTGAATCTCCAGCAAAGTCTACTCCCCACTCGTAAGCATGTCCCACTCTTGTACTTTTTCCCTTAAAGCTCATTGAGAACAGAGACAGATTCTGTGTCTCCAGCTCCTTTCACATAATCCCGCTCATAGAAGACAAGGATTTTTGAACAAACAAATGCTTGAGTAGACCGATAGTCCAGAAGGTGTGTGTTCTTTCCTGGTGTTAGCTTTGTCTTTCTTGTTACCTAGGGAGTGAAGGAGAAAGAAGAGAGGGAATGAGAACAAACCGTTCCTTCAAATAAATGTTCATTTGCTTTCTCCTCTGAGTTGAGAGTGCCCTAAGAATTTCTGTAGCTGGGTCTGAAAGTGGCATGACAGTTTGCCCATCTCAGGGCAACCCTGCACTCATGAAGCTCCCCCTCTTGTGTAAGACTTGTTCTGTCCACGTTAGAAGAGTCAGAGTGAAAGGAAATTGAAGAAAATAATAGGGTTACAACACAGTGGGAAGTTACCAAGAAGCCTCAGCAGCTTTGGCCCAAGCTGTCCTCCTCTCATTCATTTCTCCAACCTAACATTAGCAGTCAAAAGCACTGCCTTTGCAATGCATAACTGTCTCATCTTACAGGCTTTTTGTCCTCTGCAATCAGCCACTATATTCATTTGAGTAATGTCAATTAAGTATATAGTTACAGAAAAGCCCTAATAGAGAATTGTCAGCATGTGGCTCCTTTACAGTATTTATGATAAATACCATTTAGGTGGGTAATAGCTATTGAAGTTTGATAACTTTTCTCACAGAGTACTACTTAGAGGAAAAGTGAAAATGCAAAGGGATTCCTTTGTCTCCTACCTAGTAACTAATAGAGCATTGTCCTTTGTCTAATTCATTGTAAGATTCTGAAACTACTCATGTTTGGCACTATCACTGGTATTAGCAGTGTTTGTCTTCAAGGAGCCGCCATTTACATACAAAATTGTCTTTGCAAGATGTTTGATTTTGCTTAGCTTTTTGAGAAAATTGAAACATTTTCCAGTTTCCCGTCAGCAGAAATTAATCAGTCAAGATGATATTCTTCAGAACTCCATCACATTTAGTAACACATTTTTCCATGGTTGCTGTCCTTAATTTTCTAATAGGTGCTTTGTAAATGGGTTAGATTTATAAAACTTCATTAATTTGTTGCCCTGTCTATTCTTAACATGAAACATACTCACTTTGGAAATGTATATGACAAGTTCTTGGATGCATGTTCTACCTCAGAACAAAAATGTTCTGTTCAGCAGCATATAATGCCAGAGTCTTACTGTATTATAAATGCTGAAGTCGTAATGAGAGCAGTAAACACAACCCCTTGGTGTGGTGGAGCATGTGTTGTGTTTGTGTAGGTGTGTATAGTATATATATAAACATTTGGTTTACCTGAATTTTTCTTTCAGGTATAGACTTCAAACTGTGAAGTCCTTAGCTGGAGTGAGCCTGATGCTACGGTTATTGTGGGCAAGCTTGAGATGGGATGACATGGCAGCCAAGGCTCCTCCAGGGGGAGGGACCACCCGCACAGGTAGGGAGCTTATATCCTAATTAAAGTGCCAGAGACATTTAACTATTCACTTGATCGTAAACATTTCTGTCGATGAAAATAAATTGCTTGTGTTGTAAAGACACGGCTTTGCTTCAGTTGGGCACATGGTGGACAATCCCCAGGGCCTGAGGGGAGAATTCAGATTGCATCAGGTGAGTCCCTCATACATGAAGCAGTTGGAAGTGTAAATAAATACTGTAGAATATGAATCATCTATTTAATGATTTAAATGTTTTTCTTTTCTTGAAAGTCAGAGTTGGAGAGGTGTTCCATGTTCTGATTCACTCCGCAACTGGCCACAGCAGCCAGGGCTGAGTAAGGCTGAACCCAGGAGCTGGGACATCATCTGAGTTACCCCTGGGGGTGGTTGGGGTCCAAGCTCTTGGGCCATCTTCTGCTGTTTACCTAGGTGCATTAGCAGGGAACTGGGTTGGCAGAGCAGCAGCTAGGATTTAAACCAGTGGCTTTGCAAGTAGTTGCTTAATGCTCTTTGGCCCCAAATTTAAGTCATTTAAACCAAGACATCTAGAAATTTGTGTTTTCTGCTTCTGTCTAAATGTTTTTCCCTGTTTTGACTGAGCATTGCCACCAGGAACTAAGCTATGCCATACAGTCATGTTTTTTCTGTTTAGAATTGTTCAGTGTGGAAGATGAGTATTTCAGTCTAGCAGTAATCTAGTCATTAATCAATCCATATGTTTCTTTTTTAAAGCAGCAGATAACATATGTATCTTTTAGTCTGGGTATTCCAGATGGTTATTAATACTATGTGAATTAAATCACCATAGAAACATCTGAAACTGAAATCACAACAACAGAAATAATTAAAAGGCGAGATGTTGGTCCTTATGGCATTCGATCTGAATATTGCATCAGGAAAATCATTTGCCCCATTGGAGTTCCTGAAGCACCAAAAGGTAAGGGATGGAAAGAATTCTATTTCTGTTCTTTCATTATTGACGTATTGGACATAAATTTAATATATTGAAATTTCATTAAAATCATCTCCTTAATTGCTTATTCAACTTTGAAAGAGACCTTTTTCACTTCAACACTGTGTTTAATACATAGCATTGAAGTGATAAATACCACATGCCATTATGCTTCCAGTTGATGCCAGTGGACATTTTGCAGAATGTTAGAATAAGCCCTCATGCAGTGAAATCAGGGGCACTAGTTGACACCAGAGGGAACTGGTTGGCACCAGGCCATCAGCTCCAGGGGCAGCAAAATTAGTCTCTCTGGGCTTTCTAGTTCTGGCGCCTGGTACAGAACCTGAACTCTGAGTGATCAGAGAAGACTTCTTGGCTCAGAGGATTGGAGCTTCTGTGAGCTACTTCAGTGCTCAGGTTAAAATACTCTAGGAGACATAAATAGTTACTGAGGAAACATTGAGACCTACCTAAGAAGCAGTGGGTGACAAATATATGAAAGAAGGATATTCAGTCCCAGGAAGCAAGGAAAAGATAGTAGAATCATAATATTATTCAATTAATGTCCTAGAGGAAGAAAAGGAAGATTTGTAAATAGTAGATATCAGAAAAGAAGCACAGTTAACACTGTTTTATAGATAATCCTGAAAGCCTAGAAAATTCGTGAAAATGAAAGTTGAAATTCCCAAATTGAAGATGTACAGATGTTGATTTTATTTTATATGAATAATAACGTTTATAGAAAAAAAAATCTACTAAGAAATGTGTTACCAAAAAATGTGTTACAAAAATTATTTCATTAAGATAGAGACATATTTTATGAGCATTCATGGGAAATATGCTAAACTTTAAAACATAAAACTCCTTAAACTTGGGAAGTTGAATATATTAACTTAAAGGTTCATTTGGGGAAGGAACCTTAGGCTAAGAATGGCCTTTCCAAGGGAACATTGCTAAGGCAGCATCTGTCTTAATAGAGGATGAAATATTAACATAATTAAAACAGCATTGTCTGGCACAGAAATAGCTCAGAGTATCAGCAGATGGAGCTGTCCCTGACAGGTCTTCCATCTTCTTGATCTCACAGCCATCAATGCACAGCACAGCTGTCTCTTGGGGTCACTTTTCATTGGTTTGTGTGTGTTCATATTCAGATGCTGCTCCAGTTTCAATGTGTTGCTGCCACTTAGCTGTGACTGCACCACCTCTGTTTCCTGAATAAGGAGAAGGTCCAATGCTTATCTCTATCCTACCCCTACCCCAATATTTTTATTTTTAAATCCTGTCATTAGGGAGCTTTATTTTTCTTAATTTTTCCATTTCTTGGTAACACTGAACCTGCCCTTCTCAGCACCTTCAAGGGAAAGTCATACTTGTACGTGGCGGAGACATCAAACTCATGTGAGAAATATGCTGGCTTCTGTGGGAAGCTGTGTCCAGCTTAGGGTCTGAAGGCCATGTGGTATCAGTCAGATGGCATGCAGGAGGGGCTGAAAATGCTGCACCAGCAAGGGGACTGCTTATGGCAAGACTTAAACGCCTTGCATTGTGGGTCAACAGACAATGGCCCATGAGCTGTGCTAACAGCCTTCTGTGCCTAGAGTGTGATAGGAACGCAGGCAGATTTACTCAGGTGGGTATAGTCTTTCTCCTCTAACTGTATAAAGGTGAAGTTGAAGAGTTGCTACAGACACCATCTGTCCTCCACAGTCTAAAGTATTTGTACCATGTTGTCCTTTAAGAATTGGCTAGCTATTTCTTTTTGTGATGTATTATGCCACAGGCATGTGATTATAAAACTATTTTGCTGAAAACACTCATTTCTTCTTCAAAGAAACACCTACACCTCAGAGGAAAGGCCTTCGATCTAGTGCACTGCGGCCAAAGAGACCAGAAACACCCAAGCAAACTGGCCCTGTAGTTATTGAAACCTGGGTAGCAGAGGAAGAGTTGGAGTTATGGGAGATCAGGGCCTTTGCTGAGAGGTAAGGAAGTGGTCAGGGAGTTGAAGATTGTGTCCTTTCAGAATTCATTATTATTTGATTGGGATATTGTGTTTTACTTAAGTTTATTCAATCTTTTGAATTTAACTGCTGGATATATATATCCAGCAGTTAAACATATATATATGTTTAAATTTCACTTTGTAGTTTTTAATCTTTTGATTACGTTTAAGTGTTACTTTTAAACTGTGGTCATACTTTTGCTAGATTTGCCCAAAGTACTTGCCAAATGTCTAATGAAGGTTATTTCTGATAAGTTTTTCCTCCTTTTCTACAGAGTGGAGAAAGAAAAGGCACAAGCAGCTGAGCAGCAGGCTAAGGTTAGTGAACAGCCGGCCGGCGGGGGCTTCAGAGCCCACACGGAAGCTTCCCGAAACAGCAGCAGCTGGCTGATTTGTTTATGCCCTGCCCCAATTCTTTTAACTCCATTTTTCCATGAACTTCTGAGAGTATCCTCAGCTATCTCAATTTTGTTTCTTAAAATACCTCTGTGATACACTAAGCTGTGACACTCCAAAGCAATGTGTATATTTGCAAGACTTTTGAAATTATTTTTTATCTTCATATTTATTTTTTAAAATTTTTATAATTCCATCTGCTTTTTTTTTTTCATATCAAGCACATTTTTTTTTTTTAAAGATTTATTTTTATTATTTTTTGATTGGAAAGGCGGATATACAGAGAGGAGAGACAGAGAGGAAGATCTTCCGTCCGATGATTCACTCCCCAAGTGAGCGCAACGGGCCGATACTATGCCGATCCGAAGCCAGGAGCCTCTTCCGGGTCTCCCACGCGGGTGCAGGGTCCCAAAGCTTTGGGTCGTCCTCGACTGCTTTCCCAGGCCACAGGCAGGGAGCTGGAAGGGAAGCGGGGCTGCCGGGATTAGAACCGGCGCCCATATGGGATCCCGGGCGTGCTAGGCGAGGACCTTAACCACTTGCGCCACCGCGCCGGGCCCACAAGCACATTTTTTTTAAAGATTTATTTTATTTTTATTGGAAAGGCAGATATACAGAGAGGAGGAGAGACAGAGAGGAAGATCTTCCCATATTGGATCCCGGCAAAAACAAGGCAAGGACTTTAACCACTACACTATCATGCTGGGCCTTATCTTTGTATTTCTATGAGTAGTTTTAAATACTTTTTTCTGTTATACTCCAATTTATAAAATGTCCCATCTCTGAAAAAAGGCAGATTGCATTAAATTTCTGAGCTCTTTTTAATTATGGATCACCAAGCTACAAATAATTATGTAGGATTTCTATGCTATAAATAATGTACCTTGTGTGCCTGAATATTTCGAGCGCAAATGTTTACTACAAAGATAGTATGAAAGTTTTTAGCCACCTATATGTAGTCACAATAGCTATATTGTGTACTTACAATACTCATAACATAAATATCTACAAATCACACATAATTGTTTATTTCTAACTTTTTCACTTCACATTTTATAAAACATTTTCAAATTCTTGTGAATCTTTTTAAAAGATTTATTTATTTATTCATTCATTCATAAGGCAGATTTAATGGTGAGAGCAAGTAAAATCTTCCATATACTAATTCACTCTCAAATGGCCACAATGACCAGGGCTGGACTAAACTGAAGCCACGTGGGTGCAAGGCCCCAAACACTTCAGCTATCTGCTGTTACATTCTCAGTTGAATGAAAGTTCAAGAGAATAACATGACTGTTTATTTTTTTAAATGTTCATTCATGGCAGAGAAATACTGAGTTGAGGAATTTCTCTGTTTTCTGCATTCCCCATTTGGTAACAAAGGCCAGAGCTGAACCAGGCCAAAGTAGAAACCATCCAGGTTTCCCACATTAGTGGCAAGAACTCAGACACTTGAGCTGTCATCTGCTGTTGTCCCTGGTGCAACAACAGGAAGCAGTATTGGAAATGGAGGACTCAAGGTTTGAACCCGTATGTGTGCAGGCCCCCCCAAGCTTGGTGGCTAAGGTCCTTGCCTGGCAACCACTGAGATCGCATATGGACACCAGTTCATATCCCAGATGCTCCACTTCCCGACTAGTTCCCTGACTATGGCCTGGGAAAACAGTAGAGGATGGCCCAAGCAAAGCCTTGGAACATCACATCTACATGGGAGACCCGGAAGAAGCTCCTGGCTTCTGACTTCATATTGGCTCAGCTATGAACGTTGCAGCCGTTTGGGAAGTAAACCAGCAAATAGAAAATCTTTCTGTCTTTGCTTCTCTCTGTAAATCTGTATTTTCAATAGAACAAATAAATCTTTAAAAAAAAAAAAAAGAAGAAAAAGGAAGAAAAGAGATAAGTTTGGACTGAATAGTGTCCAAGAACAAGAAACCTGTTTTATAATTTTCAGCTGGTTGGAACGCACGGTTGCCAACTTGACTAGTGATCTTAAGTGTGGCAGTACTGTTTGTGCATGCATAAATGAACATTCAGGAAAGCAGGCTTTTTCAAGCTCTTGTCATTTCCTCCGTGCTCCAATTCTCACTGCTGAGGATCAGCATCTTCCTGTCTCCGTTAAAGAGATCCCCTGCTGTTTTCCTTCTGGACACTTCAGCATTTGTGCAGACCAGAACAGTGGCGTTGTTACAGATTCTGTATTATCAACAGCATAGTACCTTTAATGCAGTAATATGCTGCAGAGGCGTGAAAACAATACATTCATTAAAAAAATAGTAGGTTCAAGAGTAAATTTCTTTGAACATGTTTTCTTCCTCAAGTAAAATGTCACAGAAACATAAGGTGTCTTAGGTGAAATAGTGGCTCGATTTCTTGCAGAATGGTTGGTTTGTATTTCAGGCTGTGGGGGTTTATGTTTTCTTATCCCTGACTTTTTTAGAAACGTTTGGAGCAGCAGAAACCTACTGTCATTGCAGCTTCCACAACTTCCCCAACCAACAGTACAAGCAGCACCATCTCTCCGGCCCAGAAAGTGATGGTGGCCCCCATAAGTGGCTCAGTCACAACTGGAACTAAAATGGTACTGACTACTAAGGTTGGATCTCCAGCTACCGTAACATTCCAGCAAAACAAGAACTTCCATCAGACCTTTGCTACGTGGGTTAAGCAAGGCCAGTCCAATTCAGGTACACGTGTGTGATTGAATATTGCTTTCATTCAGGCAAAGATATTTTCTAGTCTTTACCTACTGAACCAAGATATCTCTGCAGGAAATGATTTTTCTTCTGCAGCTGATTCTGCAGACAGCTGTATCAGTTGGTTTGTTGCGGTTGAGATTCCTAGTGTTACATGAACAAAACTGCTCTCTTCCATGATTTCACTTTCCACATTCACACGGTTCACTTTCTGCGTGGAGAGCAGCGCTTTTATTAATACAGATTGAGCCACATTTCATGCATTGGTGCCCTTCCTAGAAGTCACTATGTTGCTGGTTATTTTAAATCTAAAGCTTATTAAATGTCTTATACCCCATTAGCCACCAGCACAGCTGCCACATCTGCTCCAACCATTGCCAGCACAGGTCAGACGTTCCAAATTACAGGCAGTCCAGTCACTATGGCAGGAAAAGTAATTACCAAACTGCCACTTCCTGCAAACAGCAAGATTGTCGCTGTAAATGTGCCAGCAACACAAGGAGGTAAGGGAAATGTGAAGAGTTTCAACTCACATTTGCCAGATCATACCGTTGCCATTACTTTCCATTTCCTTCTCACTGATTTCAGTCCTTGGATCTCACATTCTGTGTAGCCCACTTTACAACCCTACCACACGTAGTTGTTCTTCGGAAACCCAGTAGTACCTCATGCTTTTCATCAAAGGCGTAATTGCTAATGATTTCCTCATCTTTTGTTTTGTTTTGTTTTTTAAGGTGTAGTTCAAGTGCAGCAGAAAGTTCTGGGTATCATTCCGTCCAGCACAGGGGCCAGTCAGCAGACCTTTACGTCCTTCCAGCCCAGGACAGCCACAGTCACAATCAGGCCCAACACCTCCGGTGCGTCGGGAGCCACCAGCACGTCACAAGTGAGAGTTGCTCTTGTGAATATTTCAGTGTGAGGTGATGCGCACATCAGGCTGTAGTTCTTGGAAGTGGTCTCTTCTGGGATTAGTCCAGTGAATTTTCCCTTGCCCTTTACCTAATCTGTGACAAATTATAGATTTTGAAAAGATCTACTTGCAATTTGTATAATAAATAAAAGGCCCGTGAAGTATCAATTTTTAATATTCACCTAATAAGTATAACTCATGAATAGTAGTTACTTTCTAAAACTTTTTCTTTTTTTGCATAAAACAGGCTGAGGAATGTGTTGTATAGCCTAATGAAGAAGGATCAAAAATAAAATCTCATCCCTAGAACTAATTTGTTTTTTGCTACTATTTGTACATAGTAGACAGGTCACTTCTTTGGTACTGATAAAATGGAAATTGTTTTGGAGCAGTATTGAAAATATTTTGACACTCACAATAAAAAGTGAAATTAACATGCTCTCCTCAAAGACATTAGGGTTTCTTTTCCTGGATCCCTCCGAACTCATGGCTCTTGTGGCAAGAGATTTGTGATTGGAGCAATCACTCTGGCTTTGAGGGGGGAAATGAAAAGAGAGGAAGGAAAGCAAGCAGACAGGAAGGACATTTGGTTTCTGGTTCTGTTAGATCAGAATGGATTACACATAGAGATTGGCACTTAGAGAAATTAGAGCTCAATATTTTCTTGTGAAGAGCTGGAAACAATGCTGGGTCTTCTTCCTTTTTCACTCATGGGCTGTGCTCGGTACCAGTGGCAAGGGATGTCATATGATCTCATTTGAATTGAATTATTTTTGTCTCCAAAAATTTCCATCTTTATTCGAATCCTTAATACAGTTTCAGATGTAATGACCCAAGAGTCTGCCATTTCTATGGATATTTTTATCAATATGAATTGTTGAAAGATCTTGTGTTCTACATCCATCGTGTTTTACTCTACTGAAAACATTTTCTTTTTGTTCTTTACAGGTCATCACAGGGCCTCAAATCCGCCCTGGGATGACAGTGATTAGGACACCTCTCCAACAGTCAACACTTGGGAAGGCGATTATTCGAACCCCTGTGATGGTGCAGCCAGGTATGTATCCATCATCCATCCAGTGTACCAAGTGTACCACTTTACATGTGGTTGGTCAGCTCAGGACCTTTGTTCCTACTCTGTAGTTGATTCTCCAGATTCTAGGAAATTGAAATTAATGCTACAAATAATACTACATTTCAAATCCATATGCTGTACATTTATAACTGTGACTTTGTTCTGGGCCTTTCCAGTAGCAGAAAATAGATACAAGTGTGCTTATTAAAATTATAAGGGAAATCTTTCGTAAATGGAATTGAAATTTTAAAAATTAAAGAAAATAAGAACAATTTATATAGCAACAGATGGAGAGGAAAACTAAGCAAACAGCTAAGAAACATAGAAAACAAAATTACAAAGATAAGTACCCATCCTTCATTAATCACAATTAATGACAGGAGGTTAAAACAACCTTAATAAAAAGACTGTACAAGCTGGCATTGTGGCATAGTGCGTAAAGCTGCCACTTGCAATGTTGGCATTCCACATGGATACTGTTTTGAATCCTGGTTGCTCCACTTCCTGTCCAGCTCTCTGTTATTGCACCTGGGAAAGCAATAGAGGATGGCGTAGGTGTTTGGGCCCCTGTACCTGCCTAGGAGACCTAGAAAAAGCTCCTGGCTCCTGACTTCCTTCTGACCTAATACTGGCCATTGCAGCCATTTGGAGAGTGAACTTGTGAGTGGGAACTGTCTTTCTTTGTAAATCTGCCTTTCTAATAAAAACACCAATAATGATTAGTTTTTTTAAACGTGGAAAACTATAAAGATTTTCAAAAAGTGAAACTATATATCTTTACAAAAGAACCATGCTAAAATCAAATGACTGCAAAAGTTCTAGAAGATAAAAAGTAAGATCAACAAGTAAGCCAGCCCCAGGAAAAGCTCCAGGTGGCCAAAGCAGAAAAAGGGCAGCCTGGAAGGAAGCCCATCAGTCTGGGCATGGCACCTATGGCAGATCCTAATGCAGATTTTCTGGGTTCCATCTGTCTCACTCTCAGGCTTAACACCCTTAATGTGTTGGCCGCACGAGGACTGATACTGCCACTGGAAAGTGGTAAGGGCAGTGGCGGAGAATACTGGAACTAGAGCTCCCTGTGCTAAGGAATAGTAAGGCATTTTGTCTTTGTCTGATGGGCTTGATAGTTCATAATCACAGAGAGACCCCTATCAAAATACTGCGTGCTGAAGTCATTGTTGCTGTCCTGTCATGTTGCAGTTGCAGAAATTTGTAAAACTCTGGCATCCCAAAGTTTCTTTTTAATTTTCCTTGAGCAATTCAGAAGTATGTCTGAATATATACATAGTAGTTCAAGGTGCTGATAGATGAGACGAATACAAGCCTATGTTACGGGTTATGTAAGATTTTGAGTAAAAAATTCCAAAATGGTCAGAAATTGTTGGTATACTAAATTTGAAAACCCACAACAGTGTTAATTTCTATTTTAAAAATTGTTACATACGCGTGTGTTATGTATGTGTCGGGGTGGGAGTTAGGAGTTATAAAATAATGTGAACATTTTATTTAAAAAAGAGGCCAAAAAGTATTTTAAAAAACAAGAACAAAGACAACCCTACTAATATTGGACAGAGCAGAATTCAGTATTTAAAAATAGTGGGTGACAGGACAGTTGACAGTCTTTATATCAAGTGAAAAATGAAGATTGCAATAAAGATGTCACATTTTCAATCTTGTAAAAAAGGAGAGGCTGATCAGCAGAGAGATTAATGGATTGGGCTTCCATCTGCTGGTTCCTCTCCTGATGCCCAGTCAGCCAGTAGGCTAGGCTGAAGCTGAGGGTCCAGAATGCAGTGCAGCTCTCCTCATCAGAGGTGGTGACCAAGTAGCTAAGCCATCTCTTGCTGCTGCTGCCTAGACGTAGCCAGAAGCGAGATCTGAAAGCAGGCCTCTGACACGAGTTGGGGGATGTCATAAGTAGCAGCTTAACTGCTGGGCCAAAGGCCTGTCCCAAGATGCAGTCCTTAGTATTACAAGTGAGAGATTATTAAAGTGGATAAAGCAAAACTGTTTGAAGTCAAGGGCGAAATAAACAGATCGTAGACTACAGATAGATTATGTATCAGCTATTATAACTTCAGGAATACAATTTCATTTTAAATATATATGAGAAACCTGGAAAAGTAATGGAAAGATAGTCTTTGAACCACAAAACATACCTTGATAAGTTTCAAAACCACTACATTCTTTACAGTAAGTGTTCTAACTGTACCACTTCCTATTCCTTGCCAATATGCTGCCAAAGAGCATATTGATGGCCCAAATGCTTGACCCCTGCGCCCACATGGGAGACTCCAAGGGTTGCTGACTCCGAGCTCCAGACCTCACCAGCTCTGGCAGTCACAGCCTTTTGGGGAAAGGCACCAGTAGGTGAAAAAAAATCTCCATTTCTCTCTGTGACTCTGACTTTCAAATAAAATGCATAAACCTTAAAGGAGAGAAAATCACACTGGAAAAAAAAAAAAAAAAATATATATATATATATATATATGTTCACAGGAGGGAAAACTACAAGTGGTAAATAATTATGAAATGTTATGTTATTCACTAATTAGTAATGGATCTGTAATGTATAAATGTCATATTAGGTACTAAGTTACTACTCTTAGCAAAACAGGAGAAACCTCCACTTTAGTTAACTCCCAGTTAATTTCAGGCATTTAAATGGTAGCAGGCTTGTGGAGAACTGGTGTAACTTCATTTGGTAGACATGTAATAATCCTCTGGAAGCTGTGGTCTTTAACCTTCCTGATTCTCCTGTGCTATATTTAAGAGAAGCTGTTGGTTCAGGATAGTCCAAAAGCTTTATTTCATTTTAGATTCATGTGAATTGGTTATTTGTTAAATTATCTTATTTTGACTATTTTATTCCTATGAAGATAGTCAAATAAATGAATATTTTATGTATTTTATCTTCCTTATTATCATGTTGACTTTAGTTTTTATAGGAAAAAAGGTTTAACTTTTTTGCAAGCATCATATAATGGACTAGGATGTTAGTAAGCTGAATGAACGTGGGCGTGGTGCCACTGGGTGTGGCCATGTGTTTATCCTCGACCTGCTGACATCCCAGTGCTGTTTTGCAGAGTGGATAGGGTATGTTCATTTGGAAGTGTCCGATGGTTCAGTTCTGCATCGTGCATTGGGGATGTTTTGCTGTCTGTGTAGGGGCTCCTCAGCAGGTGGTGACTCAGATCATCAGGGGACAGCCTGTCTCCACTGCAGTCTCTGCCCCCAGCACGACCTCCTCGACACCTGCGCAGAAAACCCTGACTTCGGGAACACCCCCTGCAAGTGCACAGCCCACAGCCTCCCCATCCCCTCGCCCCCAGCAAGGACAGGTGAAGCTGACCATGGCTCAGCTCACTCAGCTAACACAGGGCCACGTAAGTAGTCCAACTTGAACCTTAGAGGTGAAACTTGCTGAGGGTTTAAGAATTTTTACTTAGTCTGATAGTTCACAAATGAACTTATTTGGAGAAATGAGTGCTTTGTGAACTCAAGTAGCACTATTTCTTGTAAGCAAGCTATAATAAATCCTCAGTATTTAGAGTCCTTAGATAGTGAACTATGAAATTATTTCATGATGGCCTAGTGGCTAAATGTTTGCCTTGCATGTGCCAGGATCCCATATGGGCTCCAGGTCCTGTCCCAGCGGCCCCACTTCCCACCCAGCTCCCTGCTTCTGGCCTGGGAAAGCAGTCAAGGACAGCTGAAAGTCTTGGGACCCTGCACCTATGTGGGAGGTCCAGAAGTTTCTGGCTTCTGGCTTTGGATCAGCTAAGCTCTGGCTGTTACAGTCACTTGAGAAGTGAACCAGCAGATGGAAGATCTTTCTCTTTGTCTCTCCTTTGTATATCTCACTTTCCAATAAAATCAAATCTTTTTAAAAGTTGGGAAGAAAGAAAGAAGGAAATAACCCTTTTATCTATGGAAAATTTTTACTTGTCAATTTTCATTAAGCTGCTTTCTCACAAGACTTGGTAAAGTGAGTAGGTCTTCCCATATTGGTCAGTAGGTTACATTTAGTTCCCATTAAATGCCAAGAGATTGTGAGGGGGAGGAGGAACTTCACAAACTAATTTTTATAATTTATTTGGAAGTGCAAGGATCAACAAAGGCTGTGATACGTTTCAAGTACAGGAGTATTTGCTTTGGGTGATAACCTGATACCAAATCTTGCTGTGATGGTGCACTGATTAATACATTGAGGCACAGGTGCTAGTTAGACAAGCCAGTGAAACAGAGTGCAGAATGTCACCGCTGTGCGTGTAGACACCTGTTAAATTGTGACATTGCTCATCTTTGAGGAGAAAGGCCAGATCCCGTAGTAAATGGTGCTAAGCCCTCCGTCTGTGGCAGGGGCATTACATATGGTGCCAGTTTGTGTCCCAACCACTCCACTTCCAATCCAACTCCCTGATTCGGCCTTGGAGGGCAGTGGAGGATGGTCTAAGTCCTTGGGCTCCTGTACCGGAGGAGACTCCTGACTCCTGATTTCAGCTCAGTTCAGCCCAGCCATTCGGACCGTTTGAGGAGTAAACCAGGGGATGAAAGACCTCTCTCTCTGTCTCTCTTTTCTGTAACTCTCCCTTTCAAATAAAATAAAATAGATTTTTACAGATACAAATGTAAGACACAAATATCTGTCTACAGCCAATTAGATTGTTAAATTGTAGTGTATTGATACAGCCATGAAAACCAACAAACCACAGCCGCACAGACTTTCATGAATGTCTCTCACATGTAAATGATCATCAAAAGAAACAACAAGAAATGAACTGCATTACATTATGTGAGGACACAGTTTTAAAATCCTGGCTGCCTGGAGGGGGCACCTTTCCTGGTTGGCTTTATCTGACACGCTCCTGACATGAGCTTGTGGCTCTGTGGAAGATAAGTGCCTGCTTATTAATTTTAGAGAGATTGTAGTGCTGTCATATAACTGGCTATGGTTTGACGGATGTGGACTTTATAATTTAAGTTTTGCTTGGTATTTTGTTTATTTCTAATTCCCCACTGTGTTCCTCGTGGTCAAAGTAACTGACTTCATAAGTTCTCAACCTTAGGGACGGGGTATACACAGCCTTGAGTCCTAGTTTCCATTCTGATGACTGCTCAGACCTTGGTGGTCCTCCCAACTTTCTGCATGCATTTATTTATTGTTCTTTTTTAAAGATTTATTCATTTACTTGAATATCAAAATTAAGAGAGTATTTCCACCTGCTGATTTACTCCCTGGAAGGCCACAATGGTCAGGGTTAGGCCAGGCAAAGCCCACAGCTTCATCTGGATCTCCCACATGGTTGGCCCCGCCCCCAGACGTTTGGGCCATCTTGCACTGCTTTCCCAGGCCATTAACTGGGAGCTACATTAGAAGTGGAACAGCTGGCATACAAACTAGTGTTCATTTGGGAGGCTAACATCCCAGGCCACAGATTACTTGCTACACCACAACATTGCTGCCCGCCCCCCCCAAAAAAACTTATACACAGAAACAAACTGAACAGTTTGATGCATTCTAAAAACCTTCACCCTTAACCTGGTTAAGCTCTGTAACCTTTTTACTTGGGAATCAGACAATAAACAATAATATTTCCTCTGCCTCTGTACAAGTCTGTTTCAAGTCTATGGAAAGAATCGGGTTATGGGATTGTTTAAAGATTCTTCTGTTATGTTCTGTAAAATAATATGAATATGAGAGAAATTGAAATCAGAATTTTGTGGCCATAATCATTATTCGCTTCGGTGTCCTCGTTTTATAGATTTGGGACCTTGAGTCCACAGGTAGCATGTTATTTGTGGAAAGGTATCTGCCTGCGCAATGACATGAATATCCTTATTTTACGTTACCTAAATTCTTCCCAGTGCCATTCTGCAGGCATTCAAATATACTTGTAAATTTTCATTTTATTAACATTTTTAGACAATTTTAAAATGCTTAGTATTGCTGATGCTTTGAACACTGTCTCCACAGGGCGGCAATCAAGGTTTGACAGTAGTAATTCAAGGACAAGGTCAAACTACTGGACAATTGCAGTTAATACCTCAAGGGGTAACTGTCCTCCCTGGTCCAGGACAGCAACTCATGCAAGCTGCCATGCCCAATGGCACCGTTCAGCGATTCCTGTTCACCCCATTGGCAACAACAGCCGCAACGGCCAGTACCACCACCACAACAACTGTTTCCACCACTGCAGCAGGTAGAGCCTCAAGTTCATGTACTCGGTGTTATTGCAACTGAGGCAATCAGGAAGCCAAAGCAGGGCTTGCCCCTAGGACGGTGTGCCTCAGGCCACCAAGCTCAACAGTCAGCAAAGCTCACGCTGTCTCAGTGCTTTCTGCCTCCTTTCACAGACGCCCTGTCACCAACAACATTTGCTCTCACTACACAGCGTACAGCAAGAAAAATGACCCTCATAGTCACTCCTTGCCAGGCCTTGTAGGTGCTGATTGAATCATGGCTTCAGGGTGCTTAGCATTGAGTGCTAGCCTGTAGTTGCAAGGTGTTGTCATGAGCTGCCACCACACCAGAGAAAGTGGGGTTTGGCAGCAGCTTGGTCTAGGAGACCTGGCTGATGTCCGTAGGCTGTGCTTTGCTTTGGATGCCAGACCTCTGAAGGGATAGCAGTGTACACAAAGGACCCCAAGAAACTGGGCCTCCATTTGCTGACGTAGGAGAGTGCTGAGCTGAGTGTGTATAAGTGGTAGTGTGTTTCAGCAGTGTCGTGCCACAAAACACAATTCCCAATGTTCTTTGATCACAGTTTTTATGTTCTGGAGTAATAGATATGGTTTATCTTTGTTTTCACAGGTACAGGTGAACAAAAACAGAGTAAATTATCACCCCAGACCCAGGTGCAACAACCCCAAACCCTGCCTCCATCTCAGGCATCAAGTGTGAGTCCTCCAGGAGCCCAGCCACAGACTGTTCAGCCTGCAGCTCAGCCCCCACCCCAGTCCCAGCCCCAGTCCCCAACTCAGCCTGAAGTTCAGACCCAGCCTGAAGTTCAGACCCAAACAACTGTCGCATCCCAGGTCCCTTCCGAAGCACAGCCCACCCAGGTACAGTCATCCCAACCCCAGGGGACAGCACAGTGTCAGCCTCCAAGCACTGTCCAAGGACAGTCTCCTGTTCGTGTCCAGAGTCCACCACAGACCCGAATCCGTCCATCAACTCCATCCCAGGTGTCTCCTGGACAGCAATCCCAGGTTCAGACTCCAACCTCACAACCGATTCCAATTCAGCCACATACATCTCTTCAGATACCTTCCCAAGGCCAGCCACAGTCACAACCCCAGGTACAGTCTTCAACTCAAACTCTTTCATCAGGCCAAACGTTAACCCCAGTTACTGTTTCATCCCCATCACGGCCTCAGCTCCAAATCCAGCAGCCACAGCCCCAAGTCCTAGCTGTGCCTCCGCTGCAACCACAAGTCCAGGTTCTCTCTCAGATCCAGCCGCAGGTTGTGGCTCAAATACAGGCTCAGCAAGGTGGTGTGCCCCAGCAAATCAAACTGCAGTTGCCTATTCAAATTCAGCAAAGCACTGCTGTGCAGACGCACCAGATTCAGAATGTGGTTACAGTGCAGGCAGCCAGTGTACAAGAGCAGTTGCAAAGGGTTCAGCAACTCAGGGATCAGCAGCAAAAGAAGAAGCAGCAGCAGATAGAAATTAAGCGGGAACACACCCTCCAAGCTTCTAACCAAAGTGAAATCATTCAGAAACAGGTAAAGTTATTAAGTAAAAGCAGCATGTTCAGTAGCTTGAATTATTGTGCTGTGCGTTAGATGTAGTGTTTGGTTGTGTGAGGTTTCCTAAATGAGAAAAGTCATTGATGTTTCCATTTAGCAAAAACACTAGATGCGCCAAAAAATACTGAATGGCTCCTATAATTTGAGACTCTTTGTTAGGAATATATATCCCCCGTGCTTATTTGACCTGCATTTTCGGAGAACTGTGAAGAATGGCATTACAATTTTGAGTACTGTTAACCCAGAACTAGAAAGATCTGACTAAATCTTACTTCAGGTGTGACAGAACTCTTTTCATGTTATTTGCAGTTGCCATTCCTTACTTTGCATGTAGACTAAGCAAATTAGAAACAGACCAAACTTGTTTGCATTTCTGGCTATACCTTTGTTTAAAAATTTTGAATATGTGTTATCCTATAGCTAACAGAAAAGTGACATTTTACAACGGCATTGAAGGGAAATAAGATAATTAAGTTAGAGTTATTCTGCCACGTTGAGGTCACATATATAACATTGTGCAGTGTGTCCAGGGAAAACTTTGCTTTGTCAACAGCTTGCTCGGCTCAGCACTGCACGGGAGTTTGTGAATTTTTCGTCTCCCCAAATCATGGGATGCACTCACCTCCTGGATCACAGTCCCTGAAACTCACTCACTTCCCCTGAGCTCTCTCTCCTTTTAAAACTTTCTCTTTGCAACCACTAAAGATTATCGTGTTGATTAAACTGAGGTCTTACTTGTAGATACTCTTTTAAACAGCAGAATCTTATATTTATAAATATTCCTATAAATTTATATCTTATGTAGTCTGTTCAAATGCATTGTTACCCAGCTTTAGAACTGTGTAAGCTACATATTCAGAATCATATCCATGCTTTTTGCAAAGGAGAATGGCAGGAGGTAAAGTTTTAAAAATTAATGCCTGAGAAAAATGAAAAGTTTAAATAAATAAGTAAATAAAAATCAATGCCTGGGAGGAGAAGACATGGTTAAAAACAGCCTTTGAAAAGTGACAACTGAGTTAAAATTCCATCTGTGTAAATTATTTAGTATCAAAGAAGTAGTTTCTTTTTCTCCGATTCTCATGTAAAATTGTCCCTCTCACTTAATTATTATTATGAGGAATAAATGAGATGATGTCAGGTGGCAGGTCATGGTAAGCATCCAGGCCATGTCGCAGATGCCAGTTTTAACTGTATTGTGATCTAATAATTGTTACAGCTTATTTTGAAGATAGTTGTTCTTAGATTTCTACTATTGTTTGTGTGCTAACTTTTGGTCACTATAAAATATGCACTTTTGGATTTGTTCTGTCCTGAAGGTGGTGATGAAACATAATGCGGTCATAGAACATTTAAAACAGAAAAAGACCATGACTCCAGCTGAGAGAGAAGAGAATCAAAGGTAGGAAGAAACACAGGATCCCGCAGAGAGCTCTTGTGTCTAACCTGCACACCTAGGGCATTGCTGACGGGTGTCTGTTTTGTTTTGGTCTGACTGGAGCTCGTAAGCTGAGAGCTGTTTGCACTAATAGCTGCTCATACTGGTTCAAAGCTGTCCAGTCCAGAACATGTGTGTAGCATCTGTTAGAGACATGGAAGAATCATGTCTTAAGCCTTCCGGAGTAAAACACCTCGCTTTACTTGGGTTGTATATTTTTCTCTAGAATGATTGTCTGTAACCAGGTGATGAAGTATATATTGGATAAGATAGATAAAGAAGAAAGACAGGCAGCCAAAAAACGGAAGCGTGAAGAGAGCGTGGAACAGAAACGTAGCAAACAGAATGCTAGCAAGCTCTCAGCTCTGCTCTTCAAGCACAAAGAGCAACTCAAAGCGGAAATACTCAAAAAGAGAGCGCTGCTGGACAAAGACCTCCAGATCCAAGTGCAGGTGAGAAGACTGGGCCGGGTCTGGTGTTTGACATGCACTGCTATTGTTTGTTTCTTAGTTTGGTTTGTTTTTGTTGTTGTTTTTTTCCTTGACTTTTTGGATAAGCTCACAATTCAGCTTCCTAGAAATTATGTTTGTGGTTATGAAATAAACAGAGTGAAAAAAGCATAGGACATACACATATCCTGAAACAGTGCTTTTTAAAAGGTCTAGATATCTGTTAGGCTGTGTTGAGGAATGTGTTTTAGAAGTCTGTTGGGAGTTGCTTTTGTTGTTTGTGACATAGTTTTACCAACAAGAGGAGTCTTCTAGAATAAAATAGACTATAAAACAATATTAAAACTGAAAAACAAAGTGTGCTCCTTGGAAAACGGCTTTTTTCCTTGAGTGATCCCCTTAAGTTTTGCTAACCTACTTTCTTGGGAAGTTTATTGAGAAATGATTGAAAACAAGTATTTATATGGATCTGTACACATTTTTATTTGCTTTCATTATTGTGTTCTCGCTCTTGTGCTTGCTCGGCTGAGGCCAGGTCCTGCGCGGTAGCTCTCTAGAAGGCAAGTGGGCTCCTTGAAACGTCCCACCAAAACTCGCGGTGATCCACGAGTTCTTTAGATGATCATTTCTAGCAGCTACCATCATTTCTATGACCCGGAAGCTCCTCTTGTAGAGTTGAGTGAAACTAGAGTGGTAAGACTGAGGCAAGAAGACTAAGGAGACAGGTGTGAACAGCAGGCAGGACTCAAGGGTTTCCCTCCCGTTAAGCCTTTAGTGTCCACTATTTGTTTAGTTAGATTCTGTTTGATTGAAACTCTGAACACAGCCCTAAGGTCACTGGGCTAAGTTGTTTTTTGTTGGGTTTGTTTTATTTTGTTTTGTTTGTTTTTTGTTTTTTTGTTTTTCTTTGTGCTCTCTTTTTATTTATTTGTGTGTTTGTAATTTGCTGGGTGGGCAGAGAGAGATGTCTGCTCTATTGGAACATTTCTGAAATGCCCACAACTGGCCAGCATTGGGCTAGCCTGAAGCCAGAAGATAGGAATACAGTCCATGCCTTTCTTTGTCTTTTTTCTTTAATTTTTTTTTCTCTTCTTCCTTTCTTCCTCCCTTCCTTTCTTCAAGCAGAAGAGATCACATCAGGCCTCTCTAACTTTATTAGAAATCTAGGCTGTTCCCCATCCCCAGGTGCTGATTTGGTTAGGATGCTGGGTGTGTCTTTTCCCCCCCCTTCTCTAGCACCTTTCCCCAGATACAGGAAGAAAATTGGAAGTGATTCTCACCCCTTCCCACCCTATTCAGTGGTCCACCTGGGGATGCACCCTTGTCAACTATGTAAACAGCATCAAAAATTAAATTGGAAAAAGAAAAATTTTTTTTGACAGTGTATCCTAAAAAAGGAAATGTAGACTATATAAGTTACTGTCCTGGAAAGCTGTAATGATTAGGAAAAAGAGTGGTTGTTATGAAGAAAATGTTTTGGGAAGATTTGGTTTTGCTTTTGGCATTTCAAATATTTGGAAAGTTTATAAATACCTCAGATTTTAAGAAGTAGTCTCAGTCTTAGGTTTGATTTATACCAGGTGTTCATGGGTGCCGATCAAGGCAGTTTCTCTCTAAGGCAGTGCAATTTGCTGCAGTCATTCGTAGGAATACATTGTAGTCTTGAAAAGCAGGAAAAGTGTAACTTAAAAGTATTTCATAATTAAAAAAAAACCAATTATTTAAATTGTAGCAAGGTCTGTATAGAGGAGAAAAGTGTGTCAAACCCCTTACCTTGCCTTACAGTCTTCAGCTCTGGCCTTAGGGACAGAAGAGCCATGGCAGATGTGTCACTTGTGTTTTGTGTTGGACAGACCACACTTGAGTACCTGGAGTGAGAAGAACTGAAAGTGAAGCCCCTGAGGTTGCCACTGCCATGTTAGGGCTGGGTCAAGGGCAAGCACCTTTCTAGTTGGTGTTAGATAACCTTCCTTTTCCAAGCTTTTTCATTGAGCACCATATTTAAAAAGGAGTGTACTTCAGAAAGTTTGTGGTAAATAAGGATTTAAGTATTGTGCAAAACAGACATCCATGTGTAGTTTTTTTTTCATACTTTGAATTTACATTATATATATATGTATTTTTTTTTTTAAGTTTTGTTTTGCTTGAAAGAATTATGCATTGAGAGCTATTCCACCTGCTAGTTCACTTCCCACATAGCTACCTTGGCCAAAGATAGGCTGGTCTCCCATGGAGCTGCATCAGAAATGGTGCATCTGGGATGTAAATTGGTAGCCATCTGTAAGCTGGGATGCCGGTGCTACAGATGAAGGATTACGTGCTGTGCCCCTTTCTACCCTACCCCACTCCATCACTCCATTGTTTTCTTGTTTTGTTTTGTTTTGTTTTCATTATTTATCTGAAGGATAGAGACATAGAAAGGAAGAGAAGGAAACGGATAGAAATCTTGATCTTTCCTTCTCTGTGTCACTCGCCAAGTGACTTGCAGTGGCTGGGGCTGGTTCCCGCTGAAGCCCCCATGGATCACAGGCACCCGAGCTGCGGACCATCCTTAGCCGATTCCCCTTGCACAAAGACAGAGAGCTGGACTGCAAGTGGAACAGCCCACGACTGCGTTCAGCACCTGTAAAAGCTGTGCGGCATTGTGCCAGTGCCCGCGGCTCCAACCTCATGCTCCGCCACTGCACTCCACGACGGAGGATTGAGCTGTGTGGACAGAGAGTAGGGGCTTGTTCTCTGAGCAGATCTTGTGCACTGGCACCTCCCTAATGCGGTCTTGTATTGTGTTTCTGTGATGACAGGAAGAGCTGAAAAGAGATCTGAAAATTAAGAAGGAGAAGGACATGATGCAGGCCGTGCAGGCCACAGCGGTCGCTGCCCCACCGCCCCCAGCGGCGGCAGCTCCACCAGCCCCTCCTCCTTCGCCTCCCCCCGCGCCCCCTCTGCAGCACTCAAGTCTGCTGTCCACACCCGCCTTGCCTGTAGCTTCCCAAAAGAGGAAGCGAGAAGAGGAGAAAGACTCCAGCTCCAAGTCCAAGAAGAAGAAAATGATCTCTACTACCTCAAAGGAAACCAAGAAGGACACAAAGCTTTACTGTATCTGTAAAACGCCTTACGACGAGTCTAAGTGAGTGCCTTTGTGTGCCTTCTGCTTTATTACAGTTAGGTGGACAGTTTGGAAGAAAATAAGCATGTTGGTAGCAGTATAAATGAAAGCATCTGGTGTTCCTAACCTTAACCCCCAACTCAGGATGAACAGTTTCATGTGTCGATGGCTCCTGTTTGTCCCTTGTCATGTATGCTTTTCCGTCAAAAGCAAGCTTTCTGTTGCTTCCTTGCCTTTTCCTCTTCTGCTGAAGCCATTCCAAATCATGGAAGTGGTGCTGCGGGCAGGTGGAATGAGCGTTACTGCCCAGAACTGAGAGTCCCTGCCGGGTTCTGTTCTGAGCACCATGACTACTGCACATCCTGCCTCCCACCAAATTGCACACTTTGAATAATCTAGTTCCAGTTTGGGGCTGTGTTTCTGTTTTCTGTGTTTGAGCAGTTCTGTTTTTACATTGGATTGCTACCCCTTAATGTTTTGGGGACAAAAACCAGAAAAATAAAAGAAGTGTTCCTTGCATTCATTGCTCAAATATGAGACTCCAAAGTTTGGATAAATTTGGTAGCAGGAAGCTGTTTTTTGACAGTTGTGATTTGTATTTGATGACATCATCAAAATGTCCGAGACCTCCAACCCATCCGTGTCATTTCTGTTTCTGTTTTAATCATTGTTACCATTCAACTAAGTGCTTCCTTACTATTCCAAAAACTAAAATGTAGGGCAGCTTTTTAAAGCACAACTAACCATAATATTTCTTACAATCCATGAAGCTGGTGCTTTAAAAACATGGTCATTTACAATTGGAGTTGGAAATGCATCCTGCCTCCCTCAAGTGGGTGCCTAATCGGCCGTGCGATGCTGCTCTGTCTCTTGGCTGGGCGCGGCACCCACCTCTGACCTGGTTGCGCATGCGTGGTGGATTCCGCTGTGTGCCAAGTTCCACATCTTGCTTTAGGCATCTTCACTTGTCTGCTCATTAGGAATCACACATGGTGGAAACGTGGAATCCTCTTGGCTGATCCAAGTGTGCCTCACTTTAAGCAAAATATACTAGATGCTTCCCGAAGCAAATCGAAGCATGCAGTGTTGCTTTAGACAAAGAGCTTTTGGAATTAATTTAAATAGTGTAGCTGGTTTCAGCCTGTTAAAGAGTATTCAGATCACAGAAATTCATTGCAAACCTAAGTCTCCCTTAATACCCCCCTTTAAACATGAAGAAAACAATTTGCAAAAAACAATAGTCTCACCCACTTTCCTGTAGCTCTTGACCTGTTTTACCCTAATTAACTATGTAAAGATTGTCAAAATATATATATATATAAAATAAAATTTTTATAAAAAAAAAGAAAAGTAAATAAAAAAGCAACCACAAGTTGCATAAACTGAGGTACACGTGCCTGGGTGCTCACCTGAGATCGCCTCATTACTTTGTGGACTTTCACACTTTTCAGTTTGTCATTAACATTCCAGTGTGCCAGCTTCATTCATGCCCTGATCTAGTTAAAACCAGTTAGTATTTCTAGGAGCATCTCGTAATGTCTCCTACCAAACTAGGCTCCTTTCAAATCTAGGGAAAGTGAACAAACGTTGAAATTCAAGTCCTGGACTTAAGCACACAGCCTATAGCACTCCACTGTATACTTCCTCAGCCCATAGCACATACAAAGCTACCTTACAAGTCCTCTTCCCCCCAAAAAAATCTCCACCACCCCCTGGAGTGATAAAAACGTGCTCCTCCTCTGTCTTCATAAGCAGGCCCCGTTGGAAGGTCAGGACCCCATGAGCTCACCGAGAAATGCCTCCGAAGAACGGCAGTGCCGGTAGTTCGGCCCGGTCCCCGGTGATCTGTGTGTCACTCGGGCCTTGCATTCCCGTCCCGCACCTCTCAGAATCTTCAGATACAGCTCTGTGAGCCATTTTGTCGTGAAGAATCTTATATTGCAAAAGCCCTCACAGATCCACAGTAACAGCCTCGGGCAGCGCCACCTGGCCCAACGCCACAGAACATCTCCGGGTTGGCCGGCCATCCGTCCTTGGCTATCCGTCCATCCCTGGGCTGGCTCCGGCGCGCTCGCAGCGTCCTGAGCGGTTAGCTAGTCGGCCTCTCACCGCACCATCACATTGTGCTGCCTGCGAAGGGATTTGTAGCTAGGTTAATTTCCAGTGTGCAGTTAGGAAATTTGGCAGAAATGGAATTACTACACATATCTGTCTCCGTTTTCTTCATACCGTTTATTTTCCTGGCCATTTATCTTTACACCTGGCTGACCTGCATGCCCTTGTAGTGTGACTTCTTGGTGTTTGCGCTTTGCTTTGTTTTCAAATTTAAAATTGTGAGATACATTTTCAAACCTATCTAAGAACTAGCCCTAAAACTGCAACGCTTCTGGGCATAGGTTTGACAGATGTAAGGCTTGACTCCTTGGCTTTGGTTTTTGTGCCTGTCACAGTTTTACACATTCATTAAAAGGAAGGCATCACCATTGGTGTGTTGTTTATTTTTTTTCAAATTCCAGTATGTTTTTAAAGACCCTCATTTCACTGAACAGTGTTATTTGTTGAATTCAATGTGAGTGATTTTGTGTTCCTGCCCCTGAAATAGTGTCAGATGCTGTTGTTTGCCAGGGGTAGAGTGGCTGGATTGAAGGTGTTTAGCTGACTCAGTGCAGAAAGTTACTCTGTAAGAATCAGTGAATCATGGCAGGGAAGACAGATAAAAGTACCATGCAGCTCAAAATGACAATTACATTGTCATTTTCATTGTGAATACTTTTAGGTTCTATATTGGCTGTGATCTTTGTACTAACTGGTATCATGGAGAATGTGTTGGCATCACAGAAAAGGAGGCTAAGAAAATGGATGTGTACATCTGTAATGATTGTAAACGGGCACAAGAGGGCAGCAGTGAGGAATTGTACTGTATCTGCAGAACACCTTATGATGAGTCGCAGTGAGTCCCGCTGAGAGCATCATATTTAATTACTTAGGAAGCCCAATTGCTCTGACTGGTTGCGTATTTATTTTTAAGTTAAAAAGCAAGATTTTTTTTTCTGCATATATTATACACTTACATTACAAATTTCTTTCCAGTTTTTTTTTCTCTTTTTCCTTCTTTATCTCCCCTTCAAAATTTACGTTGCTTCATAATGAACGTTTGAGACACATTGGGGAAAACATGGTTTAATAGTAGATTTGATTATTTTATATGTAATAAAGAAATGAATGAGAGTAAAATGGCCTGACTTGCTTGGACCTTATCAGTACTTGAATGATGCTTTATTATAGGTTATATAAAACACTAATTTAAGTGTAATCTCTGAGACTCTTGTTACTAGCTTACAGAATTTAAGTCCCATTTGATATGATCCTAGCTGAAAGAATTTTAACTTTATTGGTTTTCAGCTTTAAAATCAGTTTCAACGTTTTCTATTTTTATTCAAATGGGTTATCCAGTATTACAGTGTTCTATATTAACTTTAACTGCCTGTTGTTAACATTAAAAAAAAACTGAATTAACACATTGGAATATCAATTTCAAGAACAGTAAAACAGCTGTATTAATAAAAATTTTTTGTCCCGGGGGTTACCAGATTCTCATGTGCATGTTTGAATGTTGTTAATACGAGATTGGAAGTCACGCCATCCCATCCTTGCAGTTCTCACACTCCCCTTTCGGATCTTACAGATTTTATATTGGCTGCGATCGGTGTCAGAACTGGTACCATGGGCGCTGCGTTGGCATCTTGCAGAGTGAGGCAGAGCTCATTGATGAGTATGTCTGTCCACAGTGCCAGTCGACAGAGGATGCCATGACAGTGCTCACGCCACTCACTGAGAAAGATTACGAGGGCTTGAAGAGGGTGCTGCGTTCCTTACAGGTGAGCAGCTGCCCGAGGGCCCCGGGCCAGGTGGGGTGACTCCCCCAGCACGGCTTCCCGAGGCCACATGTGCGGGCTTCCTGACTCCCATGGTGGAAGGAAGGACCTGACAGGCAGCAGCTCCTGGCATGCCAGCATCATCAAGAGCACCGCCCCCAGTGTCAACCTGCCATTCATTTTACAGTGTCTTAGCTCTTAGATTTCACTTGTTTTGTTTGTTTGTTTTTAAGATTTATTTATTTTACGTGAAAGAGTTACAGAAGAGGGGCTATACAAAGAGAGAATCTTCCATCTGTTGGTTCAGTCTCAATGGCTGCAACAGCCAGAGCTGAACTGGTCTGAAGCTGTGAGCTAGGACCTTGTTCCAGTCTCCCAGATGGATGCAGGGGTCCAAGGCCTGAGTGCATCCTCTGCTGCTTTCCCAGGCCATTCGCTGGGAGCTGGATTGGAAATGGAACAACTGGGGCCTGAACTGACATCCATATAGGAATTGCCAGCATCAGAGGCAGAGGATTAGTGTGATAAACACCAGCCAGTTCACATCAGGGCCATGACTGAACTAGATTGCAGGCCCCGCCAGCATGAGCCATAACTGGGACAGGCTGCATTGAGCCAATCCACAACGCCTGCCAGCTAATGCCAAGGTGAGGCGAACCGAGACAGACTGGACCGCAGCTGCCACCAGCACATGTGAGATGCGTGATGGGGGACAAGCCCAATAGGAGAACTGCGGGAGTTCCCCTTTTGTTCCGCTTCTCCCACTGGTGAGCTTGATAACTGGAACTGGAAGCTGACCAAGCTAGGTGGGGCTACAACACCCATGAACCTGCATGGGAGCTGGTTTGGGGGAGAGCCAGGCTGGACTAAGCGGCTATGTCTACTGTTGCATGCGTGAGCCAAAGTAAGTGCATGCTGGTCCAGCTTTACCACAGTATCAGCTGACAAGTGCTGGGAATGGGAGCAAGTCCTGTCAAGCTAGATTTAGGGCTGGGAATGGGCTTAAGAGGGAAATTAAGGCACCTCTCTACCCACTCATGAGTGTGAGAATCCGGGCATGGGGTAGACCTGGCTGCACAGGTGGCAGCACCCTCCAACATAAGTGTGGCCAGGATAGTGGGGTCAAGTGGACTGAGCTAAGCTTCTGCACCCATTCATGTGTACAAGAGCTGAATGGGATGCAGGACAGACCGAACCGTGTACTGCATAACCGTCATCATGGGAGTAACCGCTGGGGCCGGGTCTGGTGGGGCTTATTGGGGGTTGGCCCGAGAGGACTGCAGTTTCTGCTGGGGTACATGAGAGTGCACGGGTTAGAACTGGGTCTCCTCAGTGCTGAAGACAGAGCAGTAGTCAGCATGTCCAGATGCACATGGAGGATAAAGCAGTCCACTGGGGCCTGCAGAGGACATACAGTCCCATAGCAGAAGAAGGAGGGCAGAAGAGATGGATCTAGAATCTAGATGAATGGAGACTCTAAGGTGGACTATGACAGCCAATAGATCTTGGAAGGATTTCACCATCCTTGGAGGAACGAAATCAATAACATCTCAGAACTGTTAACTACTTGAACGATGCCCTCATAGCATGTTCCACAACAGTGACCCTGGAATGACATTGGGTGGCCATCCCCCATCCCTGACTACTGCTGCTGTTAGGATGCTGGGTGCAGCTTCTCCTCTTCTCTCACATGGGTGGCATCGACCCAGCCGCTTGGACCATCTTCCACTCCTTTCTTCAGACCATCTGCAGGTGGCTGGATCAGAAGTAGTGGAGATGGGACTTGAACAGGCACCCAGTGGGATGCTGACATTACACAAGGCTGCCCCCCTCCTTTTTTATCTTCCTTATTGAAAATCTAAAGAAGGGTGTGGTGGCGTGACCTAGCAGCTAAAGTCCTTGCCTTGAACATGCCTGGATCCCATATGGGAGCTGGTTCTAATCCCATCAGCTCCCCAGGTCCCATCCAACTCCCTGCTTGTGGCCTGGGAAAGCAGGCGAGGATGGCCCAAAGCCTTGGGACCCTGTACCCACATGGGAGACCTGGAGGAGATTCCTGGCTCCTGGCTCTTGGCTCTTGGCTCTGGATCAGCACAGCACCGGCCGTTGCAGGCGCTTGGGGAGTGAATCATCGGATGGAAGATCTTGCTGTCTGTTTCTCCTTCTCTCTGTATATCTGACTTTGTAACAAAAATAAATAAATCTTTTTAAAAAAAAAAATCTAAAGAATATAGAGTGTCCTGATGCTAATACCCTAGTGGCTAAAGTCCTCACCTTGGTAGTGCTGGGATCTGATATGGGCACCAATTCTAATCCCGGCAGCTCCACTTCCCATCCAGCTCCCTGCCTGTGGCCTGGGAAAGCAGTCAAGGATGGCACAAAGCCTTGGGACCCTGCACCTGTGTGGGAGACCTGGAAGATGCTCCTGGCTTCAGATTGCCTCGGCTCCAGCTGTTGCAGCAGCTTGGAGATGAATCATTGGATGAAAGATCTTCCTCTCTGTGTATCTGCCTTTCCAATAAAAATAAGTAAATCTTATTTAAAAAAAAATATTGTGATTTAAAAGAGAAGAATATAGGAATAGTTTACAAGACTGCACAGTGATAGAGATGTATTTGAAACATAGAATATTAGGGCCCTGTGCAATAGCCTAGCAGCTGAAGTCCTTGCCTTGCACCTGTCAAGGTCTCTTATATGAGTGCTACTTTGTATGCTGGTTACTCCACTTCCCATGCAGCTCCCTGCCTGTGGCCTAGGAAAGCAGTGGTAAATGACCCAAAGTCTTGGGAGCCTGCACATGGGTGGGAGACCCAGAATAAGCTCCTGGCTCCTGGCTTCTGGCTTTGGATTGGCTGAGCTCCAGCCATTGCTGCCACTTGGGGGGTGAACTAGCATATGGAAGATCTTCCTCTCTTGTCTCCTTTTGTCTGTATATCTGCCTTTCCAATAGAAAAAAAATAATAATTTTAAAAACTTTTTTTTAAGATTTATTTTTATTATTTTTTTATTGGAAAGGCAGATATACAGAGAAGAGAGACAGAGAGGAAAATCTTCCGTCCAATGATTCACTCCCCAAGTGAGCGCAACGGCCGATGCTATGCCAATCTGAAGCCAGGAGCCTCTTCCGGGTCTCCCACGCGGGTGCAGGGTCCCAAAGCTTTGGGCCGTCCTCGACTGCTTTCCCAGGCCACAGGCAGGGAGCTGGATGGGAAGTGGAGCAGCTGGGATTAGAACTGGCACCTATATGGGATCCCGGGCGTGCAAGGCGAGGACCTTAACCACTGCGCCACCACACCGGGCCCTAAAAACTTTTTTAATGAACCAAAAATAGAAGTGGAGTCTCAGCCATGGGAGTGTGTTGTTGGCATCTCACCTGTGCGTGCTCACGAGCCTTGCTGAAGCCGCCACAGCGCCAGACTCACTCCTCATGTGAGGTGCGGACCAGATGTCATGTTCTTGAGCTCACATCCTGACTCCCACTGCAGGTCCTCACATGACTGGCCTTTGCGGAACTGTGTGGTGCTCTAAATTCTATGTCCCATGAAATTTTTGTTTTTCTTTTATTTCTTTTATTGACGGACGCAGATAGCAAGAGACAGAGATTTTCTGTCCCCAAGTGGCCACACAGACCAGGGCCAGGCCAGGCTGAAGCCAGGACCCCGGAACTCCTTCTGGATCTCCCACTTGAGTGACAGGGTCCCACAGCTGTTGTCACAGAACACGCCCATCCTCAGTACTCTGTGACAAGAGCAGAAGTCGTCATCTCTCCCACGGAGACTGACTCTTGGAGTCTAAGGGTGGCTGAGGTCGTAGCTCCTGGAAATTGGATGTAATGAATGACACTGATGACGTCTCTTTTCATTACAGGCCCACAAGATGGCCTGGCCTTTCCTTGAACCGGTAGACCCTAATGACGCTCCTGATTACTATGGAGTCATTAAGGAACCTATGGGTAAGTGCTCACGGCCAAGGTGAAAGGCGCCTGCAAGTACTGGCAGATTATTTCCATGGACAAGATTGACATATTACCAGGGTATCTCGAGCAAGGCGGATGGGATCATGAATTGGTGTGGTCGTTTCCGTGGGGAGGTTGTTAAGGTTTGTTTGGACATACCCTTGAGGCCTGTGTTTATGTGTGCACAAGCACGTTGCTCTTTGCAGCAGCGCTGGAAATTGCAAAAGCCGTGGAAATGAGTTAAAGAACCATCAGTTGGAGGAGTCACTAAATTGAAGGTGGATATTATGCAGCTATGTAAAAGAATGGATGCTGTCAGTGGGTGCCTGGCTCGTAGCCTTTTGTTTCTTCTGCCACTTCTTCCTCATCTTAAAAGGGAACATTTTTGATGTGTCCACATAGACACAAAAGAATATAACCTAATTTCCCAGGAAAGATGGTGATTATATTTTAAAAATTAAGAATTAAAGAATTTAAGCTACTGTATTTAAAAAGAAATGTTATCAGGGTAACACTATGGGAGAGTAGATTAATCCTCTGCCTACAGTGTGAGCATCCCATGTTGGCACCAGTTCGAGACCCAGTTGCTCTACTTCCAGTCCAATCCAGCTCTCTAGTAATGTCCTAGAAAAGCAACAGAAAATGGCCCAAGTGCTTCGGCTCCTACACCCGCCTGGGAGACCTGGAAGAAACTCCCAGCTCCTGGCTTCAGATCAGCGCAGCTCCAGCTGTTGTGCCCACTTGAGGAGTGAATCAGAAGATAGAGGATCTGTCCTCTCCTTTTAACTCTGCCTCCCAAATAAGAATAAATAGATCTTTAATGAAAGAAAAGAGAAGCCCCTGGTTCAGGGCTTTGTTCTGCATTTTAGCTTCTGGGTAACATGCACCCAGCGCAGCAACAGGTGATGGCTGCAGGGTGGGGGTGTCTGCCATCTATGTGGGAGGCCTGGGTAAAGTTCCCAGTTGCTGGTGAAAGCTTCAGACAGCTCTGTCGGCTTCTGATGTTTGGGTCATGAACCTATGGATGGGAGGGTGTGGGTGTGTGTGCCTTTCCGATAGATTTTTCTTGAAAGACTCTTACAGAGCTTAGCAGTAAGCACTAGATAAATTGGTGGGTAGGTCCAGGCGTGAGCAGAGAGCTGAACTTCCACGCCTTCCCGAAGGTTGCTGCCTTCCACAGATGTCTAACGGAGTGGAAACGCGGTGTGGGACTCGGTCATTTTGGTTTTACAGGAAGCCCGGTTATAGAAGCCGGCAGGTGATGGGCCTGACATTCCCCAGAAAGCGCAGGGCAGCCGCCCAGTGCAGCCTCTGCTGGCGCCCCCTGCAGCTGCCCCAGAGCCTAGCACTGTCGTCACGCCAGCACTCAGGACACTCCAGGGCGTTTGAGGAGCTGGATGGGAGACGAAAACCAAGTGTGTGTTTCACAGTCTCACAGTTGTCCTTTGTCTCCTGCGCTCATGTGTTTTGCTCCTACGAACTAATTTCATGTCAGCTCATATTTCCCCCTCCCAATTATTTTAAGTAGACACTTTGTCACCCTGAATGGTAAGGCAGTATCATTTGTCCCAAACATAAAGTAGCAATAAAAGATGAATGAAAACAACAGCTAGATGATGGGTGCCAGGCTCCCAGCTGCACCAGCACAGAGCTGCCATTCTGGATTCCGCTCTGCTCTTGGCCCCGGGGCCCTGGCTTGCATGGGAAAATGTGTTGGGCTAGGTTTTGTTCCACAGAGCTGGCTGAAAGTGGAAAGACCTTCTTATCACAGCAGGAAGTGCAGTCAGAGAGGCTGTTAGACAAGTTCTTCGTGGGCCTCTTGAATGGCAGAATGGTCTGGGGGGAATCAGACTTTGGGAGCGGGGAGTGGGTAACTGTCTTCCCAGGACAGCTGCAGGGCATGTTCGCATTAGGGAAACCTTAATGCTTTGAAAATGTGTTTTTGTTTCTTAAGACCTGGCAACCATGGAAGAAAGAATACAAAGACGATACTATGAAAAGCTGACGGAATTCGTCGCGGATATGACCAAAATTTTTGATAACTGTCGCTACTACAATCCAAGTGACTCCCCCTTTTACCAGTGTGCGGAAGTTCTTGAATCCTTCTTTGTACAGAAGTTGAAAGGCTTCAAGGCCAGCAGGTGAGTAAGCCTGTGTGTTCAGCGTTCCCCGGGAATTCAGGTCTTCAGACATCATGCTCTCCAGTCAAAGGAGTCAGCCTGGGCAGCTTGGCATTTTATGGGAAATCTGAAAATCCAAAAAAGTCAGAAAGATAAAGGGGGAAAAAAAAGCCAGACTCCACCATTGTGAGACCTCCAAAGGCAGAATTAACACTGAGAAATGGCTGCATTTGGGCCCTCCCTGGGTCTCCGTGCCCAGTTCTCTGCCTCTGCTCATCGTGGGGGAGAGAAGTGCACCAGCCACTACTTCCTAGCACAGAGGAAGGAGAACTTTGCAAAGGAGAGATGGACATTTTTCTCTTGACAAAGACTGTAAGTCTGCAGCCCCACCCCTGCCCCCCACTTTTAGGAACCTGTAATATTGTATACAAAGCATCCAGGAACTTGCATCCAAGTCAGTTACTGGAATTACTCCCTTCTGTTTCTGAGCCATACTGCCTCCTAGGGCCTATGATTTTCTTTGTTGCTCTGTAGGGCCATTTTCCTTTCCCATGAGAGCGGCCACCACCCTAGAGTCCTTGAGTTCCATTACTCACCATCCTCATCGTCAGTCTGCAAGCTGGATCACGCCTACCTGGGCAGGCTAGGAACAGTGTCCCGGTGTCCCTGCACACCTAAGGGACTCGGCACTCCAGGCGGGAGGAGGTCTAAAGAGAAGCTTTAGGTTGCTGGATATCTATTGCACTGGAGAAAGATAGAAGGTTAGCACCAGTTATATTTTGGAATCATTTTTACATATTTACATAAAATAGAGGCTGTGGAGATGGAGAAAGGGCTAGCATTATGGCATAGTGGGTTGACCAACCACCTACAACATGACACCAGTTCATGTCCTGGCTGCTTCCGTTCTGACCAAGATGCCTGCATCAAGGAGTGCCCAGCTGCATAGGCCCTTAGTGTACCGAGGTGGGAGATCTGAATGGTGTCCGTCTCCTGGCTTCAGCCTAGCCCTGCACCAGCTGTGTCAGCCATTTGGGGTGAACTAGCAGATGGAGAATCTCCATCTCCCTTCTCTCTGTAACTCTAAATTTTTAAAATAATAACATTTATAAAGGGAGAAAGAAGGATAAGGAATAGAAATCCCGAACCTTCTCAGGAAAGGAATCTAAAGCTGCATGCAGGCTCTGTGCCAAGCCCATCTCTGGCCTTCACACAGGGTCTTTATCCCCTGTTAGCCACAAACTACAAACCTTCACTGCGCAGAGTAGTGGCGTTCTGACAAATAAACAGTAACAGTGGATCAGAGAGAGACCAACTCGGCAGTGCAGAGGACATGGTAGGAGCCAGCAGATCACATTTCAGCAGTCTACAGAATACAGATTTTTTTTTATCAAAAAATTTTTTATGAAAGAATTCCTTTCTACTGAAATAAATTGCTACGAAGAGTTGTGAAAAGGCAGCTCACTGCTGCCATTTCGGGGGGTTTCTCTTGATTTCCAGGAGGCTGGAAGAATTGAAGACGTGGCCAGTCCGCACCCTCCATGGGCCTTGAGTGGGACACTGTTGCCATTCCCATAGTTCCCCATTTTTTAAATTTATAATTGCCATTATTGTTTGCACATTATTTTTGTTATTGCCCTTTCTTACAATTCACCATTCATACCATCCGTGTTCTTTCTTTTCTTACAGATTGTGATATCTTTAGTCTGAATTTTTAACTGGAATCTGAACTCGATATTGAGGTCACTCTTTTATTATGCCACGTGATTGCCTAATTCAAAATTGCCCTCCCCCAAGTTGAGATTAGTTAATCCAAGTTTTGATATTCAAAGATGTATAGTGGTGAACCCACCTATTGCAGCAGCCGTATTGAATGCTGTATTTAAAAGCTGTAAACTCCTGGAAAGCCTGTGTTTATCTGCTATTGCAATAAGAAGTGCTTTGAGCCTATATCTGGTAACTGTACAGTCGTTTGGTTTACTAACAAAGGTTTTGAATAAAACTGTGAAACTAGAAGGGAGGACTTCTGGATTTTAATAGAAAAAATGGGGTTTAATATTGCTGTTTCCTTTTTAGCATGATTTTTCCCTTCCTGTTTCCAAGACTGATGTACATACACGTATGCACAAATACGCACACTCGCACACTCTGCCTTGCACACACCCCTTTGCTGCAGTGGGAATGCATTTGTAAATGCCTCTGTTTCATTGGCTGAAGACGCTGGCTTTTTCCAGTATTAGCTATCATCATGTTTAATGTGCACTGAAAAGTTTTCGTATTATGCGTTAACACATTTTTTAGTATTATACGTTAACATTTTCTTAAATGCTCTCTTATATTTGCTTGCTGAGGGTGAATGGACGAATATGGCTGCTTCCCTCAGACTGCTTGACCTTGGCATCCACATAAAGCATCATTGTTTTCAAAGTGAAGGGTGCTTAATTGTTCCCTTTTTTCTGTATTCTGTAGGTCTCATAACAACAAACTGCAGTCTACAGCTTCTTAAAGTTCAGCGTGTTAATCTAACATAAGACACAGCAAGAGTCTGCTTGTCTGAACTGTTTTAAGTTAAGGAGCCAGATGTTTCTAGTCAGGTTCTCCTGGCAAGGCTTGACCTACACTTCGTTTTTATTGGTCGTAACAGTCCAATTATATTCTTGGCCAATTTTGTCCAACGGACAAGGGAAAAAGCAAAGTCAACGACACCATTATCTTGTCAAGATCAAATGGTTTTACTATTGTGGCAGAAGCGAGAAAACTTTGTTTATTTAAAAAAAAAAAAAAAAGAAAAGAAAAGAAAAAGAAAGCCAGAAAAAAAAAAAGTTACTATGGGGTCCAGTGTAACTCCATGGAAATGCCACGTCTGCTCTTCAGTGAAGAAGCTGGTTCAGAGTCTCACAGAAAACTTCTGACTATTTATTTATTGTTGCAAAAAAGACGCTTTTTTATTGCTGCCCTCATTTGTCAGCTAATTATTTTTTCTGATAAACTCCAGCCCCGGTTCCGTGTAACCCATCCTGTCTCCCGTCACGATTCCTGTAGGCAAAAGTTCAAGACAACCTCTAGATGTCTTTTCTTTCTATGAAAGGAGCTGCTATGTACACACGTGCACACACACGCGCGCGCGACTGGGAATCAACAATGAGTTTCTTGTTCATGGTAGATGAGAATTAAGCTTGCATAAAGGTTGGGCTGAGCGGTCCTGGACTACAGACTCTGTTGCCTTGAATATACCAGTACCATTTGTCATTGACTCTGCACCAGGCTAAAATGAGTAAAATCTATTTGAAGGTATCTTGTTTGTAAACATTTGTCAGATTCTAATTTCTTCTTTTTGTATTAAAATTCAACTATGGATGTATATGAAACAAAATAAATGGAGATGATTTTTCTCCCACAGATGGAGGTGTCTTTGAATGTGCGCTAATGCTTATCTGTCAGCCTTCATGGGGCGAGGGAGGGCTGCAGGCGGGGCGAGGCCAAGGAGTCGCTCACACCTGGCCTTTGAGGGTCATGAGTGGCCCTTCATTTTTACTTCCCAGTCCACTGTCGCATGACAGAGAACAATCTTCAGGGGTGCTAATCCTGGTGCATCAGTCGCTCATCCTGATGATAATGGCAGTGTGACAAAGCACACATTGCCTTCCTGGGTCCATTCTGTGATGCCAAGCAAGTTCTTGGTTGCACACAATGAGTTAGATTTTATGAAGGACCTTTGTAGCTGTTGTCATCTTTGTATTTTTCGTTTGTTGGTTGGGCTTGTGGTTCACTTCTTTGTTCCACTAAAGGAAAGTAGTGTGAACAGAAGGGAAAATACAGAACACACAGCCGTGAGGGCGTATCGGCATGCCTCCTTTCTGTGTTCTAAACACACCCATTGTACACTGCATTGTAGTAGTAGCTTCTGTGAAATCCTCCATAGTCGGATTACGCAGCTTTGCAAGAATCCTCCTCGATTTTGCACTGACTCGTACTTGCTTTGTCCTGTTGACTTCTGCAACTTTTCCAGTTATAATTGTTTTTACAAGTTTCCTTTTGTTTAATGTTTCCCTGCTATGCAAACTCTTTCTTAGACCTTAGTTTCTTAAAAAGAACGATGTTGCTACAGTCCCAATTCTTTCTTACTACTACAGGCTCAGGTGTGCAGGTTATTCTGGGTTAATTTTATCTAATGATGCCCATTCCTTTTTGTACATAAAAATATCACTTAGATCTATGCTTACAGACTAAAGAGACTAATTGCTCAGTATGGAAATATAGAAGCAAAATATTAAAGCGGAATTAGTTAAATATGGATTATTTTGTCCTTTTTAAAAAAATGTTACATATTGTATGCACTGTGCTGATGCAAGAATTCCACATTTTAATGAATTATGAAATTATTCTGCATCTCATGTCACAGTATTTCTGTACTATTTATTCATATATATATATATATAAATATATATGGGCGTAATCATTTAAAACTTGTTGCGGCAAGAACTTTCCTACCTGTAGGCAATAGATTGCTATGTTTTTAACAAATTGTTGCAAATCCTAAACAGCAATTCTTTTTGTACGTAATAGGACATTTCATCCTAGAAAAAATAAAGTAATGTTTTTGACATTGGATTTGGTGCAGTTTCTAATGAAACAATGGTTGCTTGGTTGGTTGATATATTTTCTGTAGCTTTTGGCATTGCCAAATTGTATTTTAAAAAAAAAAAGTAAATTTTATGGAAATCTTGAGACTAGGAAGATGTTAATTTCTTATGTGTGTATTTAATGATATAAAGCCTTTTGCAATTTCTATTACCATATAAATACTTAAAGACATTTTATAGTTTTATCAAGTACAGAGTTTTAGTCTTTCAAAAGTAATTTTTTGAAAAACATTCGTTCTTATTTCAGAAGCTGCTTTTCTATGAATATTCTTTGACAGGCACCTGCTGTTCAGGAAGATACACATAGGTGACAGCTGTTTGGCTCTCAGTAATCGAAGTAGTATAGTGCACATTTGTGATACTGTCAAGATGTTTCTAACCCAGTCTTTGGGGCCTGTAAATATACTTGATTTGCAGCAATAGGTTCCTTGGCTAAGTATTTTCCATGTTTGTTATGCTTCATCTGCCAAGTTCATAATCTTTGAAACCATTTCATAAAAACTATTTTCATAAGATTTTTTTCTTAGCCAAATTTTACAGGATATTTTTAGTCCGTGTCCTGCAGTAGGTTTAAAAGGAAAAAAAGGGGGGGGTGAACTTGGGGATATTTTCTAAAGGAAAACGTGTAATTACCTTTTTATATTTCAAGTGGCCTGGAGTGTTATTTGGAGACACTGAAATTTGCTGTGTTTGTAACCTACCATCCTAGAATCTGCAAATAAAAGTTTTTTCTCTATTTTTGTTCATTTCTATTAGGCAAAGTCCCTGCTTCTTTCTAAGTGTCTCATGTTGAAGAGAGCTTGGTGGCCTTTGAAAATCTCTGTTCCCTTTTCAGGCTGCGTTGGCCAGGGATGGGATGGCCTTCACTCGCCCCATGAGTGAGTGGGTCTAGTCCTTAAACTGAGAATGGGGTTTCTCGTGGCTTTGAAGTGCTTGGGCAGGGAGGGTGTAGGGTGGACCAGCAGCAGAGGAATCTTCTTAATAATAATTTGCAACACTGAGCTAATTCTGAAAACTTAGAGTGAGATACTGGAAAAAAAAAAACTTCGAATCACACCTTTGAATGTTTGAATCAAATTCAGCTAAAGAAATAAGCTGTATTTTTTTTAAGATGATAAAATCCTGTTCCACCTATCTTGTTGCTTGCTCCAGTCCGTCCTGGAGTTGTGTGGTTCTGTGGTGTTGCATACACCTCTGCTCAATCAGCCTCAGTGATCTCAAGAGAACTAGAAACGCTGCCAGCAGGCATCCTCAGAAGACAGCTCTACAAGCTGCTCCTAAACAAGTGTGTATGTCTTCTAGACGTTACCCTACCGAAAGAAAAGTGCTTTTTCCTCCAAGAATTGTAAAATAATAGCTTCATCTAGGAGAGGGCTACTATTGAATTACCCTTCAAGGGAGCAAGCTATTTTGTGGATAAGAGACTATTAGTGTGCAGACACAAAGGGCCCAAACTATGAGTTTAAAGAAAAAAATGGGGAGACCTAAAAACTGCGATGAATAGGTTCCCTAAAATGTCCCATAGGTTGCATCCAAAGTCCTGGCTGAGTGCTGGAAAGGACAGTCTTAACTCTGCCTACTTCCATGACAAGCAGCCTGTTCATTCCTGCTCTGGGCGACCCCAACCCCACTGCTAGTCTACCTCACCCATCATGCCTTGCAGACTCGATCTAGAATGGTGGCCTTAGTTTCTGAATCCAGGCAGTTTCTGAACAAACAACCTGGGGGGGTGTGTGCGCATGCGTGCTAGGGTGTTATCCATGAACCATGTGACCTCCAAGGAACCTAGTCCTGGCATTCTGTGTTTCCAAAATGTTTCAGAAACAAGTGAAACCCTATCTTAAGCCTCAGGATTAGAGGAAAGTAATTTTGTTTGCCTCTCTTAAACCAGAGCTATGTATCATTCTTTATGCTTTAACATCTGATCAGCCAAACAATAATCCATTTGATCCTTTGATAGTTTTCCCCAGCATGTTGCTAGCTTTGACCTCTGTGGTGGACATAATTTTATCCCTGAATCATTCTTAGAAAAACTAACTTGGACGGTCTTCGGCAGTGGTACACTTCACTGCCAACTGTTTAATAACACAGTTAGTTTGTAAAAGTTTGGAGAAGACTAATTTGGGGATAAGTTCCCTACAAATCCCCCAGTAATGCTTCACCACGTAATAGAATCTCTGAATTTCATTTTACTTAGCGCACCCCACGTCTGGGGCGGATGAGATCACACCAGCAGCGGTTAGGAGGCTCCTGGCTTCCCTGTGAGTTCTCAGTGTCTGGTCGTGCGCATCGTTGAGATGTGCCTCTGGCAGGAGGCTGCAGGCGTCATCACCCCAAGAGCAGACAGGCTTGCCTCTGCCATGCAGTTCTTTCATCTCGCTGTCTGCAGCAGTCTGCAGCTGTGCTGGTTGGTGTGTGTTCACAGGTGCCTCACATTCACAGCATCCTCTACAGAGTGCTGATGGGCTCGATAGCATCAGCACACTGACGATCCAGTCTGTTGTAGACCAGTTGCTGGCCCTGATGGATACCCGCTGTGGGCTCTGAGGAACACCTCTGAGAAAGGCTTTTCCTCCAATCTTCTGAGATGTGGTGAGGCTGGAACACCAGGTACACCCAAAATCTGATTTCAAAGCAAGATTCGTTGCTTTACAAACACCAATAGGAGGCTTGGTCTTAATTGTTAAGGTGACAGCAGGAGGCCCATATATAGTCAGCATTGCATTAGCCACCAGCTAGGCATAAACCTAAGTTACCAAGAGCAACCAGGCATTGGGGAAGGGAACCATACCTTGGCACCCCAGGAACAATGACTTCGAATAATCCTCTGCCTAAATGAGGCCCCTTATAGTACGTTCCAAATGTAACCTTTTAATATTGGTCCTGCACTCTGATCCTAGCGTTTCATCTCCACAACATTTCATCCATAACGTGTCTTTCCATGAGTGTACCTACTGTTATGTACAGAACTTAAAATGTGATGTTTTGAATATAAAATTTGGTCTGATACATGATTTCAACGATCCAAAGTTGTAAATTCGAGAAATGTTTGTGTGTGCGCGTGTGAACTATTAAAATAATTTAAAAACTGAATCTGCAGCAGTGATCTGTTAACTGGACAGGTCAGTCCTCTGGTCACCCGTGAATGAAGTGACTTCAGTCATTCAGGGGGAGCTGCGGGTGGGTCCCAAATCCTGAAGGAAGCCCCTGTGCCCGATCTCCGTGGATCCCGTGGCGCCCTGGCGGTGTTCTTCACAAACACTGCGTGCGTACCGCGCCTCGAACTTGCGCGTCCCTCCTCCGGTTAAACCTCCTCACGTAGCCGCCGCCTCCGCCCAGCAGTCCGTCTCCGGGCTGGACGCGCCCTCCCAGCACTTGCAGCAGCGCCGCAGGGAGCTGCCGCCTCTTGTGGTAGATGTGGCCCATCACAATGTACCTGCTGCCTGAAGCAAACAGCCAGAGTTAATACCTGATGGCCTCAGATAACCAGGACACGCGGCCGGAGCCGGAGTGGTGATCGCTTTCCCTGCTGCCCCTGGTCCCTCCCAGCGGGAAGCGAGTGCGCACGCCCCCTACCACCCACGGGGGAGACCCGGGTGGGGCGCCAGGCTCCTGGCTCTATCGGGCCTGTCCAGGCGCTGCGGCCATTTAGGGAGTGAACCAGTGAATGGAACGCCACCACCAATAACAAAAGTGGGAGCTTTAAGAAATGCCCACGCCTGAATCCTTCAGCCTGGCCTGCCCCTGTTGAAACTCAGACGTATAGTCTACAGGCAGCAGAGTGAAACGGTGCAGTTACCTCTGGAGGACACACAGAAGGCCAGTCCCATTGGACAGGAGGGCTGATCACGGCCCAGAAGCAGGGTAAGCCCCCTGGCACACACACACACTGTCAGGCGGAGCCCCTGACTCATCCCTGCGCCCCGGTGCCCATCACTTCAGCTTGTGGGCAGCACCTGCTTTGGGCCAGGCCTTGAAAATTGCTGAGGGACGGGGACCTGGGCGACGGTGGGTTTCGACCACAGGGTGGGTCCCAGGGACAACTCCTATCCATGCTACAGGACCCCCCCACCACGGTGCTGGGATGGCCTGCAGACCCCAAGGGCGCATGATGAAGCCACAGGGTCAGCTCCAATACCAGGTTTCAGTTCCGGGCATGGCTTGGCGCAGCTGGAGGGGTCCAGGGCCAGGAGATGGACTCGGAAGAAGAAGCCGTCGGGGGCGACGTACAAGCGGCTCAATTTGTACAGCCCGCCGCGGTCCACCAGCAGCGTCACCAGCCGGATGCCCGCGCCCAGCACGTCCACGTCGTGCACGATTCCATTCACGGCTGCTCCCACCAGAAGCAGTTCCGAGGGGGGAGGGGGAAAAAAAGCATTATTGCGCACCTGCCCTCGCGCTCCCCAAGTCGCGACGCGAGCGCCCCCATCCCCACCCCGCACGGGCGGGTTTTTCTGGGACCTGGCTCACCAAATTCGCTGGCGCAGAAGGCGTCGCGCTCGTCCACGTCCGCCCTGCAGGCGCGCGCGCAGGGCTCGGCTCCGGGCTCGGGGTCACTGGGCGGGGGCGCGGGCGCGGCCCCCGGGGACGGGGCGGCGCGCGGCCGGTTGGGGTGGGCGTGGCCGGCCGGCGGCTCGGCGGCGCGCGCGGCCGGGAAGCGCAGGGGTCGGGCGCGCGCGCGCCGCGGGGAGTTCTCCGCCACGGGCACGCGCCGCGGGGAGGCGCGGTTCTCGGCCTGCGCGAGCCGCGCTGCCTCCCGGAAGCCGGCCCGGTTCTCGGCGGGCGGCGGGGCCTTCCGGCGCCGGGGGTCGGTGTCTGCCGCGCGCGGCCGCCGTGGGGCTTCGTGGACCGGCGTTTCCTCAGCGCCCCGGACGCCGCCGGTGTCGGGCTTTCTATTGTGAGGCGGCGAGGCTGTGGGAGGAAGGAGAGCCCCCGGAGGCCGTCAGCGAGGCAGAAGCCGGGAGCGGGGGGGAAGGAGGCTGAGACCGGGCAGCGGGCAAAGGAAGTGGGGTCTCCGCGGGCAGAGCACCTGGGAGACCAGGGAGACCCTGGAGCACCTGCCGGGAGCCCCGGGCGCCCCTGAGGGGAGGGAGACGCCCTCAGCTTCGCGAAGAAGGGTGCGGCTCTTACCCCCTCCGAGGATGGGGTCAAACGAGCAAGTGTTACACGCCGCACTTTTAAGGGCCGTAGCTTTTCAAAATCGCACCCCCTGTGTTTATTCTAAGACTCAGGGTTTCTGAGTAACTCTTTTTCCCCTGTCCTTAATATAAATAGATAGATGTGTATGTATGGACGTATGTGTCAACATCCGCCTTTTTTGTTATTTACAGTTTGTTGAGAAAGTACCAACAGCAAACCCCAGGAGGAAAAGTCTCGAGTTACAGGTTCTCCCGCGCGTTTCAGCGCCCCTGACAACAGAACTATTTGGTTTTCCCATCCATGTTTACACTGTCATCTTGGGCTCTGCAGAATAGAGCATTTGTGAGTGGATTTTTTTTTTTTCCAGTGTGACTTCTTGGACACCACTTACTGGGCAAAGCACAGCTGAGAAAGGTTTTAAAAGTCTGGCTGCAAGGCAGAACCGCCCTTGGTTAAGTGTGAAAGCACCCATCCCTTACATTTTATCCCCCTTAGGGAGTTCGGCAGGAGGACACTTTTTTCCCCTCTCTTATTCCTGGTCAGTCTCTGCGGACGGGATGGCACGTCCAGCCCTGTTCTCCATGTCACCTCCCCCTTTACCGGATCTGCTGTACCCTCCATGCGGGCCCCAGACCCCATCTCCTTTTGCTTTCTCCCATCTCCTCTGCTGCCTTATTTAAGAGCGTCCTCTGCCCATTTGCAGCTTGGCAAGCCTTCCTTGTATGGGCTTTATCTTGCCAACTTGATTGTTTCCCGGACCATCAGCTTTCCACCCAGCACCAGGGGCTGGGAGAAAAGTTCACTTATTTTTTTTCCCCCTGAGGTTTTATTTGCTTGTTTATTTGTTTGCAAAGGAGTTCGGTTCTGACTCACTCTGCCCCCACGGAATCTGCGGCTGCGCGGTTCACAGCTGAATAAAGTCCTGGTGGACATCCAGGCTCTGGCTGTCAACTGTTGACCTCACAACTGCTTCCCATTGATAGCACCATCTGTTGTCATGGGAAAGATCGTCTGATATGTGGGTTAAATGCCTCTGAAGTCATTCCATTTCCATGTGGAAAAATAACCCAAAGTGAATTGCCCCCGCAAGGTACGGAAGCTGCTCTTCCCCGCAGTGAGGCTAACAGAACATCCCAATCGCAGAAAGCAAAGCAAAGCAAAACAGTAAAACACCCTGCTGTGAGTGCCTGAGTTCTCCCTCCCCGCTACAGCTGCGTTTCGGGTCCTGCGTGAAATGTGTGTGTGCGTGCCCGGCCTCCGGGCTCAGGCATCCTTGGAACCGGCTGCAGGGACTCCTCGCCGCACCCCGGGCAGAGTCCGATCCCTGCCTGCCCACTGCGTCCCGGCTCCCCAAAGGCGCGCCACGACTCCCTTTGACACATCCCAGCTCTGAGATGGAGCAACTACTTAACATGCAAAGTTTTCTGCAGCCTGCCCGGCTCGCTTACGGTCGCTTCAGTAGCCTAGCGGGACTGTGTTGCTAAAAAGCCTCACAGAGTCTTGGGGACGTATCTTTGCTCCCCTCTAGCGTGAACGCCGACCCGGAGCCTCGGCCCCTGCAGGCGCTGACCGTGCTGCGCGCGTCCCGCCCTCCGTGGCGCTCTCACCCGGGTCCCCTCGGGCTCCCAGCGGGCTCTCCCCGGGCTCTGCATTCCTGCAGCGACCTTACCTTTGCTTTCGGCCACCGGGGCCTCGGGGGATGAGCCCACGAGCAGACAGAGGAGCCACAGAGCTCGAGCTGTCATTTTCGCAGACTGGGTTCCCAGGCGCTCACACCCAGCCCGGGCTCCTGCTCGCTGGCTCTCCCCCCACCCCCGTTCATGCTAATGAGGGGCAGCCTGCGGGGAAACGGGACTCACTGAGCCGACCATTGAACAAAAAGGAGCTGCAGGGTTTTCTGGCTCTCCCTAAGGGGGCGAGCACATGGCCGCTGCGAGCTGTCCCTGGGGGACGCGTGTCCCAGGGTCCGGCGGCGCGCCGAGGGCTTCGCGCCTTCCCCTTCACACCTTCCCCTTCACACCAGGGTGGTGGGTGCAGGAAGTAGGGCGGAGAGGGAGAGGGATGAAGGCATTGTGGGGGGCAGAGGCCAAGGGCTAGGGTTGAGGAACTGGGCGATGCGAACTTTCTTCCAGCTGAAATCAACAAGTAAGTAAACACGTGCCTAAGATGGAAAATGCCCCCCGAATGTCAGGCAGAGAATTCACTTCACTCCCTTCTGGGTCTGGATGAAACGCAGTGTGTGAAGGTCTCCAAAAAATTCATGACAATGCGTGTCACGACTGAAAAAAAAAATACAGGCTTCAAAAGTTTTGCCCTACATTAAACTTACCTTTTAATTTCATTTTCCATCTCTCTCTCTCTCTGAAACTAGCATTGAATTGGCCAAATCCAAGATTTCCATACTGAATTCCTTTACCTGCCTGGTGCAAGCAGCTTTCACCAGCCTGCTTGAGAAGGATGGCTCATCTCAAGACAGGTGGATTTTTCTTTCCAGGAAAAATGAAATTTGCTGCTGACGCCTGATTCCCAAGCCCCGTGTCACAGACTGCCACTCAGTCCTCTGATGGGAATCCCTTCCCTGGACTGAAAAGAGGCAGCATTCCCTGGGGAACCCCAGTTCACTTGAGTAACACCCTCACTCCATCAGCTGAGATCTGGGAGGAGGGAGATGCCAATAAGCCCTCAGACACAGGCAGCTGCAGAAACATCGAGTTAGAAATAATTTAAAATAAAAACTGGTGCTGCCCTACAAGTCCATGTTCAAAAACAACAGTGCTGGTACACTGGCATGCTGGGTCTGGGGAATCTAGTCGTCAAGAACTCTGGTGGTGGGCCTGGCACAATGGCCTAGCAGGTAAAGTCCGCCTTGAGTGCACCAGGATCCCATATGGGCGCCAGTTCTAATCCTGGCAGCCCCGCTTCCCACCCAGCTCCCTGCTTGTTACCTGAGAAAGCAATCGAGGATGGCTCAAACCTTGGTACCCTGCACCCGTGTGGCTCCTGGCTTCAGATCGGCGCAGCACTGGCCGTTGTGGTCACCTGGGGAGTGAATCATCAGACAGAAGACCTTCCTTTTTGTCTCTCCTTTGTGTATATCTGTCTTTCCAATTAAAAAAAAAAAAAAAAGCTCTGGAAAAGTCAGTGGACAATAGATCAGTTTGAGGACCAGATTCCACGTGCTTTCAGAGGATCTAAGGCAGTGTCCCCACACAACATTTGTTACACTGAATGCTTCAAAAGTTCCTGGAACATAGAATTATATTGTTTTAAAAATCCTCACATCGAAGAACTTTCTTGTTTCTTCTGTTTGTTTGTTTCAAGTACCTATTTTTTAAAAAGATGTCTTTATTTGAAAGGCAGAGCAGAGGAAAAGAGCTTCTACTCGTTTTGTCCCCTAAATGACTAACAGTAGGCAGGTCTGGGCTCGGCTGACGCCAAGAGCCACGAGCTCCATCTGGGTCTCCCATGTTGGTGACAAGGATCCAAGGACATGGACTCTCTCAGGCAGCACATCAGTAGCGAGCTGGACTGGAAAAGGAGCAGCCAGGGCTTGATGCTACTGTCACAACTGCCTGCTTCACCCACCACACCACAACGCCTGCCCTCAGATTGCTGCTTGAAATTCGGTTGAATTCTGTGAAAGCCCCCAAGGGTAGGAGTTACAATGTTACCAGTCTGATTTCAGGCTAACAAAGAACATTTTTTTTTTATTATTAACGTTGTATTATGTGATACAGTTTTATAAGCACTGGGGAGTCCCCCCCGCCCCTCCCATACCCCTTCTCCCATAGTGGATTGCTCCATCTTGCTGCATAACCACAGTTCAACTTCAGTTGAAATTCTTCCATTGTAAGCATGTTCCTAGCATAAAGTCCAGCATCTTATTGTCCAGATAAGTTCAGTGGCCTCTTGGGGAGACCTTCTCTGGTCTGAAGGTAGAGCTAACAGAGTAAAGTTCCGGTCAGTTAAGACCCCCAACAAAACAACAGCGTCGCTATACAATGTTATGGGATTAGTTGGTATAGTGTTGAGTGAACAATATCCGCACCTCTGGGTTTAGACAGTATCTGTGACAGGTTCAAAAAGTAACAATCAACCAAGCATAAATTACAGGTTAAATCCAGGCAAACATTAGATGTCTGACATAGTATTGAGTAGACAATATGTTAACATTACATGTAAGTTCTTGATTACCTTCTACCACTATTTCAATGTCACCTCCTCAATTGAGGTGTGTAACGATTTTGGGGGGTGTTGCAGAGAAATCTCTCATACCTTGCTAATGAGTCTTTATGTTCCATCTAATAGTATATGAGTGAGTCTTTGATGTCCTATCTCTATTGTTCTTTGGTTATCTCATCTTATTAGTGTGTGTATATGAGTGTGTGTGTAAGTGTGTGTGTGTGTGTGTGTAGGGGGGGAGGGGGTTTAGGAGGAACCTTGTTGGTCTTTATAGAGGGTGGAGGCCCAGAGCTGAAACTAGGTAAGGACTGGAGAGGATTCCTCCCCCACTGTCCCGCCGGAAGTTTATTGATCTTCTGGTTCTGATGACCAATCGTGGTTCCTAGTTGTTGTTCTGATGTCGTTGGTTCCTATGTGGAAGGACTCGGGTTTCTTCCATCTCATGTAGTTGGTCCAAAGAGAAGGAGTGTCTGTCCTCTGGGTTCACAGCATTCAGAGGCATTCCAAAAAGAACATTTTTTTTAAAGATTTATTTATTCCTATTGTAAAGTCAGATATATAGAGAGGAGGAAAGACAGAGAGAAATAACTTCCATCTGATGATTCATTCCCCAAGTGACCACAACGGCCGGTGCTACGTTGATCCAAAGCCAGGAGCCTCCTCCAGGTCTCCCCACGTGGGTGCAGGGTACCAAGGTTTGAGCCATCCTCGACTGCTTCCCTAGGCCACAATCAGGGAGCTGAATGGGAAGCGGGGCTGCCTGGAACTAGAACCAGCGGCCATATGGGAACCCCGGGGCGTTCAGGGTGAGGACTTTAGCCACTACGTCATGGCACCAGGCCCACAAAGAACATTCTTACAAAGAGGGTCTCCAAGAAGGACAGTGGCAGTGCGCTTCCTGCTACTGGAAAGGAAAAACAGTGATGCATGAGAGTCGTGCTGTGTGTGGAGACTCCAGTGAGCACACGGGCTCCTCTCCAGCAAAACTGGCTATCCATGGACTGACAGGACGTGGGGAGCTGATGTGCTCTGCAGTCTGGGCCTTACCACTGTCTCTCTCTCTCTCACAGTGCATCAGAGCCACAGAACGAAGCTCATGAGAAACAGATGCATGACCTGGGATACCGACCGTCCACCAAGCTGCAGTGGGAAGACCATGGGGAGCTGAGTTGGAGGTCTGGCTAGTAGTCAGAAACATACTTGTTGCATACAAGTTGCAGCTGAAGGAAGAGGGTTGACCTTCCCTCCTGTGGTCATCAGAGGAGTGGCTTCTTTTTCCTCTCAGATCACCTTTGCAGCCACGGTAAGGTATGGCTGTGTAGAGTTGGTGCCCCAGATGCTGAGCTGTGTGATGTGTTGCTTCGACTCTCTACGGAGATGTCCTCAGAGTGCCTTCTCTCCCGGGCTCCCTCTTTAAACCCAGTGGAATAACATGAACTAGACTTAAGCTTCCTCAATTACAATTTCATCTCAGACATAGCGTCTTAAGATTACATGCAAGTCACCCAGATCCAAGCTAGGCGTGTTACAGGAATGTTGGAAGTGCCCAGAAAGCCCATACCCTGAAATGGAGAAGGAGGGAAGCGGGCTGGATGGGCCCCCCATGGGCTTGGGGCAGTGTCTGGCTTGCAGGCTCAGAAGCCACACAAACAGTGGAACATAGTTGGAAGACATTGAGCTAGATAGCCAGAACGCCAGTTTATGAATACACAATGAGAAACTGACTCTGGCACAGGCGCGTCAGCTGGGCTAGCAGTCTCTTAATACAAACAAGCCATGTGGGAAGCCAGATTGTCACCAGGTGTTGATGCAGCCAGAGCAAGCACTGGGAGCTCATGTTGATTGGGATGCTGAGCGATGCTGGCTTCTCAGAATGTAACCGGCTTCCTGGCACAGGGCTTCCTAAAACCTTTGGCACTTCCTAGGTGATGGGCATACCTTTGTTGGGCGTGGGAATCCTGGATCACTCTTGGGTTGATGCTAAGGTGCTGGCTCTTGGAGGGCCCCACTGAGAGTCATGTTTGTCCATTTGCTGTTGCTATAACAAAACACCCGAGGCTGGGGAATATATAAAGAAAAGTGGCTGATTTCGCTCAGGATTTTGGAGGTCTTCTTCCCTGGGCCTGAGGGAGCACAGAAGAGTAACCCAGAGCAAAGCAAGACGCCAGAGAGCAGGACTAGGCTAGTCTTGCTTCTTTTTCTTAATAAACAAACAAACAAGTAAATAAATAAAATCGGGCTCAGTGTGATACTTACTGGCTAACGTCCTCACGTTACATACGCCAGGATCCCAGATGGGCACGAGTTTGTATTCTGGCTGCTCATTTGCCTTTCAGCTTCCTGCTGTGGCCTGGGAAAGCAGTAGAGGATGGCCCAGAGCCTTGGGATCCTGCACCCACATGGGAGACCCGAAGAGGCTCTTGGCTCCTGGCTTCTGATTTCTGGCTTTGGATCAGCTCAGCTCCACCTGATTGTGGTCTGTAAATTGACTTTCCAACAAAAATTAATAAATCTTGTTTAAAAAAAAAGATTTATTTACAGAGAGAAGGAGAGACAGAAAGAT